TTAAAGCCAGTGTGGGTAATTAAGTAGATGAAGATTTCATAGAGTAGACGTGTCTAAATGTTAATATTTTGTCTGCAACAATAGTATCAGAAACAAGTAACTACACATACTACGGAATCTTCTTTTTGTCTCTCTTTATCTTCTTTCTTAATGATAGTGTCAGAAGGTATTCCCTCCAATCCAATTAATTATGACGTGTAATCTCGGTTAGCGCCACATAGGCTATTCACTCCCATTTCAGCCTGCTTATCGTTTTGGACTTGCTTCAATAGCCTTTGTCCAACAAAAAACAAACTAGTATACAAAGTTGTTTAATTTTAGAGTTGTCTATCCTAGATGATTTGCTGTCTCCATCAATCGAGCATCATCTGCCCGGGAATTGGAACTCGGGATTTTTCGTTTCAGCTAAATGAGCTTAACCGACAGAGCCATGCATACCCCCCCCCCCCCAAGTACCAAATCAAAATATCGATTTGTAATGTACGCTCATAATGTACGCTTGCAACTTGTAGCAGCAGTTCTCACTTTGGTCAACGTCCCTGACATGATGTAGGCTTTTCGCTTTGGCAGTGGTTCCAATGCAGTGCCGGCGCCAGGTTATATAGCGCCCTAGGCAAAACTTAATAAAACGCCCCCCCCCCCTCCCGCATATATATATATATATATATATATATATATATATATATATATATATATATATATATATATGGATATAGTAGACTGCCTCACTAAATTTTAAATTAAACCATTTAACCTATTTCATTGAAACTGGCTGAAGCTCATTTCTGGTCTGAAATAATCCTGTTTTAAAGTACCTCATTCATGAAAATTATGAATAGTGTCATGCAAGTAGTTTAAAGGTTTGCCTCAGTAATTAATTTCAATTTTCAAAAACTGCACTCTTCACTAGTCACACTGGAAAAGTTAATAGTATTCTCATGGAAACAACATTAATTTTGGTACACAATCTTCCAATTTTGGTTGTGCAATATAGAAAAGCACATATAATGATGACATTTGCTTAGGAAGCCTTCGATCTACTATGTGAAGCTCATTTCAAATATCACCAGCATCAATATATTTATTAGCATTATGCATTAACGATGTTTTTGAGTGTATGCAGGCAGTAAGGGGAGCCGGACGTTTTCCCGAAAGACACTTGCCCGAATGTCGTTTGCCCGAAGGCCGATTTCCCGAATGGACACTTGCCCGAATGCGACAAATGCCCGAATGGACACTTGCCCGAATGCGACAAATGCCCGAATGGACACTTGCCCGAATGCGACAAACGCCCGGGAAATCGGCCTTCGGGCAAACGGCATTCGGGCAAGTGTCTTTCGGGAATTTGTCGTAGACCCGGCAGTAAGTATATCCGCAGGTGTCTTCTCGTTGATATTGGATATAACATAAAGATAGCTAAATAGAATATTATGTTGTTCTAATTGTTGGAACCTCTCTTAAATAGACTGTATAGGGCCTACCTATATCCAAGATAATGTAATAGAATTCTAATTTAAAATTCTGTCTAGGATCTTGTGGTGGCAGCATTTAATTTAGTTTCAAAATCTAAATATCTCCTTGTCTATCGAGATTTTTAACTTAACTTGAGAGAAAACGAGACATACGAGCCCTATGAAAGTAAAATTGCGCGTGTTTTACAACGTCGCGTTGATGGAGGTGGAGAGGGGCGCATTTTCATCAAGGCGAATAGCTAAATATCGGCATAATTTGAGGAGGGGGCGCAAAATTGATAGTTCGTTATGGGCATCATAATAGATTGCTACGCCTTTGATTATTACCCTGTATATAGCTTATTTAATATATAAAAAGTTATTAATTATTATGTAATTTTTAATAATGGCGATTACACATTTTTGCGCCCCCTATGGACGGATTGATCTAGCGGTTGAGAGCTGGACTGCTAACCCGTAAGTCTCGAGTTCGAATCCGGGTTCTAGCCAGTAGACCGTCCCTAAGTTCACCCAACTCTGATGGATACCTAACTCCTGTTAGCGAAAGTAAAGGCGGCCGAGCATAGTGCTGACCACACTATCTCTTCATATGCCGAGGTCACAGAAACAAGTGAACTCTACTTCACTTGGCCTATAGACCGTCAGGTTTTGACTTTATGGATAGCGCCCAAGGCGACCGCCTAGTTCGCCTTATAGGTAGCACGGGCCCTGTTCCAATGTGGACTATGTCCCTGACTCTTTGTTAGTTTGCAGCTTAAAGCAGTGGTTCCCAATGTGGTCTATGTGCCTTACTCTATGAAAGTTTGATGCCTGTAGCAGCGGTTCCCAATCCCCAATCCCAGAATCTCTGTAAGCGTGCAGTTTTAAGCAGCAGTTATCCACGCTAAGATCTACGTCTAATATCTTCAAGCCTGCTGGTGTCAAAAAGGCGAGAAAAGTTTCACCGAGATTTTACAAGCTACAAGTAGGCGTAAATGACGTATACACCCTTAACTTTGATTGGTCTTACGGCGATTGATTTGCTGATTTCAATTTATTAATCGATTTAAAGCTATCAAGCGAAGCGTCCTGGCCAAAGCGTCCTGTACTACAGTTACCTTTACTACCCACACGCTAATCACCAACCTATTCATGAAACGAACTGAGAATTTTATTTTAAAACTCTTTTTGTTCTCCTGGCTTTTTAAATATTTTTTACGCCCCCCCCCCCTTCCCCGCATTACATTGATCTGTCAATAAAATCGACAACGTACGATATTTTATAATATAGCTTTAATCTCTGACAGGAAAAATTTCGAGATCTTGGGATTGTTTATTGAATCTTTTAGAAGTATCGTATCAAAGTTTCAAAGTGATCGGATTAATGGTCTAGAGATGTGAACAAGAAAAACACTCAGACATACATACATCGAGTTTACAAATATACATGATAAAAAAACGACTCTAATGTCCATTTCCAAATACTTTTAAATTATTGTGACTCTTATGATTAAATATTTATTTACTTAGGTATACTATTACACTAACCACGATATATTGCATCTCATATCCGAAAAAGTAGTTAGATATTTTCATTTAGTGATTTTAAACTAACATCATGAATGATGATGTTTCGAGCAGGTTATATATATATATATATATATATATATATATATATATATATATATATATATATATATATATATATATATATATATATATATATATATATATATATATATACACGTTCCCGTCCCATGCGTTGGCATGGTCTCAGATAAAAGGCACTATTGAAAAACGGTCTCATAATGGGTTGCCAATCCCATATTCTCTGACGTATGACATTGTTTCCTAAAACTGAGTTATTTACTATGTGTTTCTGTATTTGTCTATACACGGGTTTGTCCACACTACCGCCCAGAACGCCTCAGGGCGTGCTGTAAGAAAGTCTACCTTCCGTAATTGTGCGGTAGAACACACTTCGGCAAACACCAAGATGTCACATACGTAGCATGGCATTCGAGGAGCCCTGGTTGCACTACCACAAATGCGCCGGGTACGGCCCCTGGTTTGTTTAATCATGGTGTGTCGTGTGCCTCTGAGCCCCTAGTGTAGGATGCTCTTTAAAATAAACGTAAACGCCATAGTGCTAACGGGGAGGCCCGAGGCGCAAAATCTCTTAGTGTTGGGGCACAAGTACACGTGCCCGGTTTGATTTAGCCTTCAAAAATAGTATCTCGCCGTTTTCAGAGTGCATGACACAATTTAAATAGAACGTAGGCGCCATATTGCTCGAGGTGCGCCTTGGGCACTTAATCGCGCCATCAACGACTATAGTAGTTCATCGTAACCATCGTGTATCGCAAGCGTTTAAAAAAAATGTAAGGGCTATAATGCTCATCGAAGACGCCGCATCGTCAAATCCTGCATGGCGCCGACGGACGCCGAATGACGCGCCTGATTCAATTTAGTAAACGACTGCAATAAACCATCTTATCCATAGCTAAATAAGACGTATGCGATTTAGCGCTCACAAGTAGTTCGGGGCTCGAAATTGCGAAATTTCCGGGTTTCCGCCCTTGCGAAATTGAATTTCGTTTTTTAATATACACCTCCCTTAAAGAATTTTCATCAACTCCTCTATGTTTCATGTTGATCTGATAAATGGTGTAGTGATGCATAAAGGGCGAACAAACATACAAGCACACCCACACACATATTTTCATATATATATATATATATATATATATATATATATATATATATATATATATATATATATATATATATATCTGTGTGAGTGTGTGTGTGTGTGTGTGTATGTACAAACACGTACGTACATTAGAGCGTGGGCCGATTGTTCATTTAACAGTACAGTCCCAAGACGTAGGTGAAGAGGGGAAGGGAAGGTGTCCTAGTTCACCGACGTCATTCACGCGAAAATCATTGTCGATTAAATTTTTAACGCTCTAAGGGTCGCTGATTTCTATGAACAAATGTTTACCCAATCTGTAACACCCACACAATTCTGTAGCCAATGAACACCATTGAGGTCAGGGATAGTAAATAATATAATGTTAACAAGACATTGAACACTTGAAAAGATTTTTGGAATCTAAACAATGGGTTGAAATTGTATAAATATCGAGTAATACCGATACAATTAAACAGTCGGTCTAAACGCGATCTTCATTATATACAGCTGTAGTAGGTCTACATTCGCCTTCAACAAGGTTATTATACAATTCTAGCTTATAATATATATATATATATATATATATATATATATATATATATATATATATATATATATATATATATATATATATATATATATATATATATATATATATATATATATATATATACATATATATATATATATATATATATATATATATATATATATATACATATATATATATATATATATATATATATATATATATATATATATATATATATATATATATACATGTATGTATGTTTTTTCGTATGTTAGATTATTTATATTTTTATCAATACTTATATTTCAGAGTTTTACCTAAAATGGCTTCACGCCCAACACTATTGTTTTTGCTCTTGGCTTTTAGCAATCAAACTGGTAAGTAGGCATACATAGCTCTGATCTAGAAATATTTTATCCGTGCTCATCCTACGTGGAAAACTGCATACATAGATTATAAATATAAAAAACCGGGAGTGATCTCCCCTAAACTTTCTCGAATATTCTAATTTAACACTACGTGGGATGGCAACTCGGAATATAGACATGATTTTTGTTTATTTCAACTTTTAAAAATAGAATAAAATCTAGTAGAAAAAAGAATTGCGCACCAAGCGAACGCCAAAACAAAATGTGCATAATAGTGAGCAATATTATTAGTACTTTATAAATTTACATGCGTTTTTTGAGAATTTGGAAATAGCGTAAATTAGTACTTCCGTTCAACGGAAACTACTCAAAATTTAACAGAAGGTAGAAAATTAGATCTTTTACTCACATGTGAAACTTCATTTATCTATCTGAAATAGAACTCAAGTTATAGGCTTTTGTAAAATTCAAAGTAGAAAAAGTACCACTTCCGGTTATCGGAAATCGCTCAAAAGTTGATAGGGATTTACGATTTTGATAAAATACTTATATATGAAATTTCATCAACCTAGCTGCAACGGTACTCAAGTAATCGTATTTACACACAGACACACACACAGACACACACACAGACACACAGACATACGGACAGAATTGCAAAGCCCAGTTTTTCAGACTGGATTACGCATAAAACCTTTTAATTTTGATAAATCTGGATTGATAATTTTTGCCCGATTAAAATAAGTCCTCTATACTTCGGATGTTAAGAAGGACTGAGGTGTAATACGGTGAAAATTGTTAAAATTTCAAGTGATTTTTGTGCACGATTACAATACTTTCTCTATACTTCGTATAAATCTATATACGAGAAAGTAAAAACATAATTTACTTCTTTATTTTTACATCAAGTGTGTTTTTGAATACGACACTGATGTCCATATTAATACGCTAACAATAACAAATGAACGACTTGCACTTTTAAGAACATATTGAGTTCTGTTCGCCGTTTAGAATCTACCAAATCTGTAGACGAAAGATCAGAATGTTAGAATACGTCTCATGTTTTGAATCTTCGTCGTATGTTTAGTAAAAATTAATTATTGATATTAAATTTCTTTGTTGTAACAATTAAATAATTAGTATAATTTATATGTAATATTCTTCAAAACAGTAAATATGAAATCTCTAGGCTATTAACATTTTTTATATGCTTAAGTATCGATCAATGCTATTTTCATGTTTTGAAGTAAAATATCTCTAATATCTTGACTCTCTGAACGCCCCGTGTACACAAAGTCAGATAAACTCAGCATGCACCTCCCTCTATTGCATTCGAACGTCTAAAATTTAAAAATTATTTTAAAACCTTAAATTCAGACCCTGATATAGAACAAACTATCTCTATATACCGATTATGCGCTGACAACCAAACATTAACAAAGCGATATACAATAGGTAATACAATAATTCTATGACTGACATAAACCTAATTTCACATTACCGGTTGTTTTTTTTTAAATTATTTCAGGTGCAACGTTATGGGACGGAGGTAAAATTGTGGATGGAAAGTGTTTTGTTTTTGTGAAATATCCTAAAGTGACTTGGAACGAAGCGCAGGTATGTAATTGAAACGTTTACTTTTAATTTTGTTTAAAATTTAGAAACATTGTTTCATAGTAAAATATCAACACATATTTAAAATAAATTATTACAATAAAATGTGGGACAATGGTTAGAATAGATCAATTTTATTCCTACTTAACACGCCACCTATTCCCTAAAATACTTATTAAATTTATAACCATTTTGTTTCATCATAGCAATTTGTTAATTTTGTTATGAAAAATGTTAAGGTAAAAGAAAGATAAAAAGAAACTCTAAATTTATGAATCGCTATATTGTTGTTGGTGCATAATTTTCTATACTTTTCTGGCAATAAATGTCTAAAGCGCTACAGATAATACATTGTTGCTTTTATAACGTAAGGAATTATATATAAATGATTATACTATGAACAATACTAATTTTGCTACTTATTACAGTCTGCCTGCGCAAACATGGGAGGTGCTCTTGCGACCGTTAGCTCACTGTCACAAATCAGTAAATTTGAGTCGGAGTTCAGCATAGGTGGAGGTATGTCTATATGTTTCATTTATTTACGTTTTATACTCTCTCTCTCTCTCTCTTTATATATATATATAAATATATATATATACATACATATATAAATTCATTAATTTCAGAAGAGTTATAAAGAAACAAGTTTTTAAAAAGTTATTTTAAAAATGCTTTAAAACTAAGGTTTTATCTAAATTCACACTAAATTAATTGTAATTGCTTATCTAAATGATTTAAATATTACTTGACAAACTTCTAAAATGTTTCAGATTTCTTTTTTTTTATTCTCCAATTCATAATACTATTGGTCTACTAAAAATAGACGTTACTGGTTATTTAGTAATATGTTTACTGCACTTGACTCTCTAACTTTCAGAGGTATATTGGATTGGTCTCAACGACAAAGCAGTTGAGGGACAATTTGCGTGGGATGAAACCAAGAGCCCAGCTACTGAAATAACAAGTGATTGGTGGGCACTAAATTTCCCCACAACTTACAACAGTGACCTCCAAGATTGCGGGGGAGTCACAAATGGACACATCTTTGACAGTTATGGCACTTTAAATCTAATGTACCTGTGCATTGAACCCAGTAAGTCATCAGAGAAGATAGTGTTTAATTAAATACGGTGATGTTTTGGGATAAAGAGCACGGTTGGCTAAGGTATAAACTTATGTGCACATTTGCATTAAATTCAATTTGCTTATAAGCAACTATCATTTGACCAACATTTATAGGAATACTTTGTTTTACTTTCATTTGACCTTTTTGTTATTAAAACTAAACTTCAATTTAGCATACTATATTTTTTCTAATTTCATTATGAAACTTTATAATATTACAAACACAATAATATAGCAATTGTTGGTTATGCAAACATAAAACAATAGTGTTGCAATAAGATATTATCCTTTAATCTTTCATTTAAATGATCGAAGTCGTTTTCTTTCTTTAAATGCAATATACGTGCACACATTTTCGTTACCAATCGTAACAAACATCTATTAAATGATTAGTGTTTTATGTACGTGTATTATTTTCAGATTCTTCTACGACAAAATGCACTGCACCTACAACCCCACCTGCTACAGTAATTCAGCCGGAAACCACAACAGCTATATCCACTATTGGTATGTCGCGATCTACATTTTTATTACCCTTAATCGTCCTATCTATTATTTGTTTGAGTTAGCCCTTACATTTTAAACAATTAATTGTGAAAATAAAATATCAACAGAACCAAAAGTGTGAATAAATTGAGAAACAATCAATACTAGATTGATATTTAAAAATGATCGATTCTTAATTTCCAGAATCTCTTAGCTGCGCTTGTACACACCATTTCAACTTAGCCTTACATACAAATGCCTCTAGAAAGAAAAGCCCATCTAAAATTACACATATTATAAAATCTTTCTTTTGGACTTAGATTCAAAATCTGATGATTAAACTAAACATCTATATATTTAAAAAAAAAACGACAATGCATGGCAATCATAATTTTTCAAAACGATATATTACACGAAACGCAATACCTAGTATGACTTAAATGAAACAATTTTTACAAAAACAGTTAAAACAAAACATACGTTTTTCAGGTAACACAAAATGGGACGGAGCTAAAATTGTGGATGGAAAGTGTTTTGTTTTTGTGAAATATCCTAAAGTGACTTGGAACGAAGCGCAGGTACATGTTTCAACCTTTACATTTTTAATGTGTTAAGAATTTAGAAAAATAAATGTTTATAGTAAAATATCACAGAACATGTAAGTTAAATTCTACACAATACAGTGTGGGGGAAATAAAGTCAAAATGCCTCATAATTAATATGTGACTTATTTCTTAAAATACTTATTGAATTCATCACCATTTTATTTCATTATAACATTTTTTTTACTTTTTAAATTAAAAATGTTTAGATTATGATAGATAAAAAGGGATTTTACATTATGAATCGCTATATTTTTGTTGGTGCATAATTTTCAATACTTTGTTTGGCAATAAATGTCTAAAGCGCTACAGATAATACATTGTTGCTTTTATAACGTAAGGAATTATATATAAACGATTATACTATGCACAATACTAATTTTGCTACTTTTTACAGTCTGCCTGCGCAAACATGGGAGGTGCTCTTGCGACCGTTAGCTCACTGTCACAAATCAGTAAATTTGAGTCGGAGTTCAGCATAGGTGGAGGTATGTTAATATCATTTATTTATTACACATTATATATATATATATATATATATATATATATATATATATATATATATATCCATTGGGTGCGTTTCAATGTACGTGCCGATGAGTAAGTATTCATTTAATGTTAATTTAAGTACATTATAATAATTGAGAGCACTGTTATCTGTGAAATGTACAATATCGCCGGCATTTGAATATTTCTTCAGTAAAAAAAAATGTCCAATATGAAAAAAATGAGTCTTCATACATTTATTAGATATTTTAAAATTGTTAATTATATCAGTAAAACAAATTATTCATCCATATTAAGTCACAAGTTAATTGACAAACTTCTAGATAGTTAAACATTTACTTTTTTAAAAAAAACTTTTAATATGGATGTTGGTATACTAAAAGTAGACATTAATTATTTTTAATTACATATCTAAATGCATTTGACTGTCTAAACTTCAGAGGTATATTGGATTGGTCTCAACGACAAAGCAGTTGAGGGACAATTTGCGTGGGATGAAACCAAGAGCCCAGCTACTGAAATAACAAGCGATTGGTGGGCACTAAATTTCCCCACAACTTACAACAGTGACCTCCAAGATTGCGGGGGAGTCACAAATGGACACATCTTTGACAGTTATGGCACTTTAAAACTAATGTACCTGTGCATTGAACCCAGTAAGTTTTAAGTCAATATACATTATATTATTAAATATTATAATTTTTTTATATTTGGGGGACGGTTAGCTAAAGTATAATGGTATGCGTCCGTTTGAATTAATTTCAATGAGCTTATAAGCAGCTATTATTAGAGTAACATTTATATGAATGTTTTGTTTTATTTTCACTTGATCTTTTTTAATCTCATAAAACTCAATTTGAGCATAGTGTTTTCTGTAATTTCAAAATGTTACTGTTGTTAACACAATAATATAGCGAAGGTTGATTAGGCATAAAACATGATGGGTTAGAATAAGATATTGTTATTTATTTTTTAAAGAATATATGTCGTTTTCTTTTATTCAATGCAGTATTTGTGAACTAAATTTTATTAAATATAATAAAACACATCTATTTAATGATTAGTGTTTTATGTACGTGTATTATTTTCAGATTCTTCTACGACAAAATGCACTGCACCTACAACCCCATTAGCTACAACCCTACCAGCTACAACCCCACCATCTACAACCCTACCAACTACAACTCAACCATCTACAACTCTACAAGCTACAACCACAGTACCTACAAGAACTAGCGCCAGCACCACTCAAGCTACAACAACAGACAGTTCTGCAGTGACTGTCACAAGCAATGTTTTACATTTCACGCTGTCGATCACACTTACTGCAGTATATTTCTACACAATGTCTTAGGATTGTTATCATTTAGCACTTTTGCATTAGCATTGTTACTTGTTAATAGTCTTTCTTAGGATTTTTTTCTTATATTTTTTAAACAAAATGAGCAGTAATAAAATAAAATTAATGACGAAGTGCATATTGTACTGTAGCGACATTGGCTGTGTATTTGTTTTACAATTAAAATTTAAAATGTATTTGTGTTACAATTAAAATGCATTTGTGTTGCAATTAAAATGTATTTGTGTTACAATTAAAATGTATTTGTGTTACAATTAAAATGTATTGGTATTACAATTAAAATGTATTTGTGTTACAATTAAAACGTATTTTGTTACAATATTAATGCATTAGTGTTAAATTTAAAATGTCTGTATTATAATTTGCGTCGAAAACCTTCTATTATTCATTATATTATTGTAGTATTATTTACATTCATATATATATATATATATATATATATATATATATATATATATATATATATATATATATATATATATATATATATATATATATGGTTCAATTACAAATGATCTAAAGACAAATAATCTCAGACAAAATATCTCAGACAAAATATCTCACGGACAAATTATCTCAGGACAAATTATCTCAGTACAAATGATCTCAATGACAAATGATCTCACGGACAAATTATAACATGACAAAATATATGAGGACAAAAGATGCCATGGAAAAATGATCTCAAACAAAATATCTCAGACAAAATATCTCACAGCAATAATATTAATAGTGCATAGGATGATTTTAGTTATCTGAACATTTATTTATTGACTGTCATATGATTTTGTTTACTTTATTTAATATCAAAACAAGCTTACTCCTTTAGCTTGAAATGTATAATAAATGATAATGTATAAAACAAATAAAGTAAAGGTAGTTATACAACATTTTTTTTTTTGAAAAATGTTAAATATTTTTAAAAAAATGTGAATGGGTTTCTAGGTTCGTAACGTAAAACCATTGTTTTTATTGCACCATCAACTCAAACATAACGCTAACGTTTCTTTGCTGGCGGGTATATCGTTATGATCACACCTTTTACAATACTGTGTGATCATGTATTATTTGAACTCTTTCTCGACATGTTCTAACTTCACAATTTCAAACCATTTGCCTGCTGCTCCACTTCTGGCTTTTATGCGATGTATCGAAAGAGACCATAGCTGGATAATCACCACTAATACTGCCTTGCTTGCATGCAAACTACTACCAACTTGGCTTTGCTATGACCGCTGTTTGTTAAAATAAGCAATTGTCACCTGGTGTGCCCGCCGTATTAATATGGACTTTAGATGCTAGTTGTATTGTCCATGGATGGCGAATGTCTTTCCATTAAGGCATGTCTCTGCCATCAAAGCGGGCGGCCACCTTGATAAGAATGTGTGTCTTTATTGTTATTTCGTCATGTCGAGGCAAATGTTAGCTACTCTGCTAAGGGACGTGGCAACCATGAAAGAGGATGAAGACTTGAGGCTTCTGTAAAGCAGATCGAAGGCAAGATATAGGGCATCGAACCCAGGTAACTCATCCAGGCGGGACTAAACTTGGACCATGATTTTTAGTCCGTAATAACAAAATAATTCATGACCCATGCAGGCTTCAATGAAGAGAAATACAGGAGTAAATTCCGTCAGATGACGTGGAATAATGATGAAGTGCGAAGCTTTGTAATAAAGCCTGGTACGTCGGACTCCCACGTCCCCTACATAATCGCGTGGGGGAGGAGAGGTGCAAGACTGCCGGGAACCAAAAAGGGTTTGCTCTCGACCCTAACCAGATATTGCGGCCTTCACGTGGCTTCGGAAGAGTGCTACTAGTCGGACCAAGCTCATGACCCCCCTAATGGGTGCGGAATGGCTAGTGGTAGCCAACAGCAGCTAGAGGTTTTTGATCTGGCCGAACACCCCCCACGATCAAGCTGGGTACCAGGCGGTAGGACGACGTCCCGCGTCTGGTGGGTGGGGAAGGAAAGCCCGGTGAGAGCCGACGGAAGTAGCGACCGATGCGTGGGAAACTCTTGTGGTCGGAGTTTGCTACACTGAGGCCTGCCTGGCTAATGGAAGTCAACCTTCTGAGCCGGTTCCCGTATAGAGAGAGAGAGAGAGAGTGAACGTGGAAGCCTTTTTAAAAACCTGTATCAGGCAGCCGAACACAAAAGAAACGTGAATGAACTGGTAAACCTCCTAATAGTCGACCTGGGTAGGTTAGCTGCTGCTGCTAAGGTAAGTGTGGAAGATAACCTTAAAGTCATTGACAACTATAAGAGCACTCAACATACTAAGGTGACGAGGACAGGGACCCAAAAACACTCCATTCGTCGCTACAAGTTCTACAGCAGATAAGGTATCCTGGCAAAACATAGCACCGCGATCTCCAGGAAGCCATACAGGTCAAACCACGAAAAAAATGCGTGCTACACCTGCGGGGGAGTTGGTCATAACGCGCGTCTGCTCCACCCCTTGACGGGACAGTAACGAATAAGGTAAACGGCATGCATGGCTAGCTGGTGTACAGCCTACGCATGGTGTTAGCAAGGTCAGCCTGAGCAGTACATTTTACTCGGGAGGGCGTCGTGGGCACTATGCCAGGGGATAATTTTGTTCACAATTCGTTTTTTCGTTGCTATTCTGTTGTATTTAAAATTTTAAGTATTACACACATTAATAATAAAAAACATTTCTATAGCTCTTAAATTGCACCCCACCCACCCACACCTTCATAAATGTTATACAAGAATATACGAAAATATTTATAGGAGATAACTTCCACTTTATTTCTATACGACTTAACTTCCTCGCAGTCAATTGAAAAAAGCAAATTATTTAAAAAGTGATATTCTTAAATCACTTATTTGCATTAGATAATAATACTGCACCATTGTCGCGCTAACATTTTGATAATATACTCGCTAACTTTCATCGTTCACACAGAGAGTACATCTGTGATAATGTATTGAACGGACATTTCTGCATCTAAAATGCGCACCGACAAAAGAGAAGCAATGCTTATATGTGCGCCATGTTTGAACACAATGTTTGAAAACAATGTTTGAACCTTTCTAACATACAGGAAGTTTATCTTTTTTTACACAACAAAAATGGGCAAGGAATTACACAGTAATCGCTTTCAATGTACTGAACAGATTGACAAATGGTGGGATTAATTAAATGTTTTTAGACACGTAAACATTATTAACAATATAATTTGACATAATTTGTATACATTAGATTAGAGCATAGACCAAAAATGAAATGCAAGAGTAATGATACTCAAAGGTAGATTAAAATTAGACTAAATAAATTGCTTGAGTAGAAAACGAATATACCAGAGTGTTACACCAAAAAAGTGATCTACCATAAACTTTCTCCAATATTCTTATATAAAACTACGGGAAATGGCTATTGGGGATAGAGACATTTTTTTTTCGAAATCAATGTTTAATTACTTAAACTTTAAAAAATAGAATATAATCTCGTAGAAATAAGAATTTACGCACCAGGTGAGCGCCAAACAATGTATGTGTCATAGTGCGGAACTTTAGTACTTTATAAATTCATCTGCTGTTTTTGAGAAATCAGAAATAGCGTAAAGTACTACTTCAGTAAAATCTCGTCTATCTAACTGAAACAGTACTTACGTTATAGTCTTTTGAAAACCAAAAGTAGAATAGTCTCCAATTCAGGTTACAGGAAATCACTAACAAATTGATACTTATGTACAAATTTGGTGTAATTCTCTTATATATGCAATATCATCAACCTAGTTGTAATGATACTCAAGTTCTTGTGTCCACTGACACACACAGACATACAGATAAGTTTGCAAAATTAAGTTTTCCGACTAAGGGAGATCTAAAACGTTGAGATTTGTAAACATCTAGATTTTGATGTTGATTTTTTTTTTGCATGATTACAATTCTTCCTCTTCAATTCTTCCTCTTTTATCCGTATACGAGATAAAAATCAGACATTAACGTAAATTTTATTCTATTATAACAAAACCAGTCTCTTAATTCTCATGACACCCTGTGATATAGACATTGATATTATAAAACGATAAATGTTTATTTCATCAACCTCACAATTTCCGTGACTACATAAGCAGTATAGAGATACAAACACCCCTCGCAATTTATCTAGGCCTGTCTAGTCCAACTTATACCATTAATTTATTCCATCAACAGTCAAGCACTCTCTAACACTAGCTTAAAATTCAGATTTCTATAATTCTACAACGAATCAATCCGTATTAAATTATCTCTCCACCGCTTACTATGCCATCACACATTTTTGCGTTTTTTTTTAAATCTTAAATTATATCTCTCCCTATGCATATACATTTAATTCAATGTATAAATATTTACACAACTATATATATATATATATATATATATATATATATATATATATATAATGTCTGTGTGTGTGTGTTAAATGAATATATGTTAGAGCTATTTAGCATGGTTATGATGTTACAGGAGATGTGCTTTTGTTCATTTACCAAAACAGAATCAATATATTTTTTAGGAGAGGCAAGTGACTAGTCTCGTCGTCTCGTTGACTTTCTTGCTTTACGCTAGCTCAGGTAAAACGTTTTTTTCTCTTCTTTATTAGTATTATATTTAGATTGATAACAAATAATACATCTTTAGACTATTTTCTTAGAATACCTTTTTTAACTTGATAACTCATTATTTTGCCTTCATCTAGGGCCGATGATTAAGCGAAACATTTCGGATATTTTTGGTGGAAATATATATATGCATAATAAATACATTATAAATATATATATATATATATATATATATATATATATATATATATATATATATATATATATATATATATATATACATATATATTTATATATATATATATATATATATATATATATATATATATATATATATATATATATAGTTATATATATATATATAAGTCTATGCCATTGTTCCGGTTACAGCATTTGCACAATGGTCTCATATATATATATATATATATATATATATATATATATATATATATATATATATATATATATATAATGTATATATTATGTATATATATATATATATATGTTTGTGTGTGTGTGCAATTTTTTTTATTAATGTCGCAATATCAACGCATTAAAGCTTATCAATTTGCTAATTTTTAATACAATTAACAGATCCTTGTGCAGATGGGTGGGTTGGACCTGATTGCAGTTATCAGTGCCATTGTGCTGACAATTTATGCACTCCTAGTGGTAGCTGCTTGACTGGACGTGATTGTGCTGATGGTTGGTTTGGTCCATCATGCCAATACGGTAAGGCAAAAATATTTTTACACATTTTTTAAACATTTATCGACTTTTGCATCAGATGTTCGTTGTAGGAAATGTAAGATGTATTTTCTCTGCAGCTAATTTGGTAAAACAAATGGAGGCAATAGACCCTGATAGACCTGAACTCAGAGACCAATCAAAAACCACATGCGTAGCCGTCGATGGTTTGAAATTATCCTGGAAAAGACATTTTGATTTCTATTGGATTAGACTATTCACCGAAAATAGTGGTAGGTCCCTACAAGAACGAATGTGAGTGAGGGTGTGCGGGTGGGTTTGAGTGTGAGTGTGAATGTGAGTGTTTTGTGGTGTGGGTGTGTTTCTGAGTGTAAGGGTGAGTGTGAATGTGGGTGTGAGGGTGGGTGGGTGTGAGTGTGAAGGTAGGTGTGTGTGTGAGGGTGGGTGTGACTGGGTTGTTAGTGTTGGTGTGAGTGTGAGGATGGGTGTGAAAGTGGGTGTGAGGGTGAGTGTGTGTGGGAGAGTGAGGATGGGTATTGGTGAGAGTAAAATGAGTGTATTACATTGTAATCTGTACGTTTTTGCTACTGATTTATGTATTGCACGTTTTTTTAAATTTAAATTCCTCTGTTCACGTTACTAAATGGATACTAATACAACTGACCCCAAACTCAACCTTATACTCAGTCCTGCATTATTAAGTACCTTCATCGATTCTGTAAAAATTCTGGTCAGTGTTTATGTAAACAGATTTAATTTTGTTATGCTGTCACCCCACAAAATACCTTGCTGGGGTATGATCACTTGCATGCTACAATGGCCGTTATGGTATGATGACTTGCATGCTACAATGGCCGTTATGGTCAGATGGTTTGCACGCTCCAATGGCCGTTATGGTGTGATGGTTTGCATGCTCCAATGGCCGTTATGGTGTGATGGTTTGCATGCTCCAATGGCCGTTATGGTGAGCTGGTTTGCATGCTCCAATGACCCTCAGACCTATGCACCTGGACCGTCTAACCAAGCTGACAGGCTGATCAGGAAATGGGCCAGACCAAAGTTTTCATCACCCTGCCCAAGTGTTTTGGTTTTGCCATGGGCCAACAACCTTAACATGAAAAATAAAAAACCGTCACAGAAACCGAAGAAGATTCAAAACCATCAACCACTGTCAGAGGAGAGATCAGAGCTCAACAAAGCTGTGTGGTGAAACTTAACTGGATCCTACAGGGCTGGTAAGTAGGTCAATAAACAGTTATTTGGCTCATGCTGGTTTATATTGAGCCGTATAACTATTTATTGACCTACTTACCAGCCCTATAAGGCCGACTTCTCTTCTGACACCGATGAACAGAAAATATGTCGTTATACAAAAAGATCTCACAGCTTTGGAACATGGGATTCCGAACTTGATAACAATCTGCTAGACCCGCTCAAGTAAAAAAATAATACTGATAACAAACAATATGCTACAAACTATATGCTACAAGCAATATGCTACAAACTATATGCTACAAACTATATGCGACAAACTATATGCTACAAACTATATGCTGCATACTATATGCTACAAACTATGTGCTACAAACTTTATGCTACAAACTTTATGCAACAAACTATATGCTACAAACTTTATGCTACAAACAATATGCTACGAACTATATGCTACAAACTATATGCTACAAACAATATGCTACAAAGTATGTGCTACAAACTTTATGCCACAAACTTTATGCTACAAACTTTATGCTACAAACTCTATGCTAAAAACTATATGCTAAAAACTTCATCCTTCAAACAATTTGCTACAAACTATATGCTACAAATTTTATGCTACAAACTATATGCTACAAACTATATGCTACAAATTATATTCTACAAACTATATGCTACAAACACTGGTCCGAAGTCAATTACGTGGGAGCACTTTCGGAGCAACTCCACTACAACTCCACTACAACTCCACTACAACTCCACTACAACTCCAATACAACTCCACTACAACTCCACTACAACTCCACTACAACTCCACTACAACTCCACTGCAACTCCACTACAACTCCACAACTTCACTACAACTCCACCACAACTCCACTACAACTCCACTACAACTCCACTACAACTCCACTACAACTCCACTACAACTCCACTACAACTCCACTACAACTCCACTACAACTCCACTACAGATCCACTACAACTCCACTACAACTCCACTACAACTCCACTACAACTCCACTACAACTCCACTACAACTCCACTACAACTCCACTACAACTACACTACAACTCCACTACAACTCCACTACAACTCCACTACAACTCCAATACAACTCCACTACAACTCCACTACAACTTCACTACAACTCCACCACAACTCCACTACAACTCACTCCACTACAACTCCACTACAACTCCACAACAACTCCACTACAACTGCATTAATTCTCCACTACAACTCCACTACAACCCCACTACAGATCCACTATAACTCCACTAAAACTCCACTACAACTCCACTACAACACCACTACAATTAAAAGAAACTTTGAGCAATGTTTATGTATTTATATTTCCAGATGAGATAAATGGGTCCTTCGCTCTAACGTTTAGCAGCAGTGAAGGTCCTGTAGAGTGTTCCAACCTATTAAAAAAACCAGGCTGGGGTGCATTTGATTTTTTTTTCAACATCACCGGCCTATCAAACGGCTTCGAGTTTCAGTTTGAGACACCCGTGTCTGTTTGTGCAATTTTCGTAAGTGGAGGTGAGATATTGACACAAGTTAATGCTAGATTATTGAGATATTGACACATGTTAATGCCAGATTAGTGAGATATTGACACAAGTTAATGCCGGATTAATGAGATATTGACACAATTTAATGCCAGATTAGTGAGATATTGACCCTCAATAATGCCAGATTGGATGTACAATTTTAGTGTCAGATGATAAGCATTGATCAAATTACCTAAAACTGAATGTAAAATAAAAATAAAACATAATGTAATATGACGTTGATTATAACAATGATTCGCAGGCCGGAACGTTGCTGTCCGACAAAATGTTACACTATCTAGCGAACACCCACTCTTTCCGGCTGGGAAGGCAGTTGACGGAAATGATGACAGAATATTCCAGAACGGATCATGCAGTCAAACTAGATTTCTTACAACAGCCTCGCCTGAGCAACATTTCACTCTTACCTTCAAACGAAAAGTCAACATTAGAAGGTTTATTTTATTTAACGCCAGTAAGGGTGAATTAGTTCTTTAAAAACTATCGATTACCCATTTTTACTTTTAAGGTATGCACAAGAAATGGCACAATTGTCTAGGGTACATAAAGTGGGGTAGGCTCCAGAAAAAAAAAACTTCTTAATAAATACGTTTATTTATTTATCTGTGTAAATCTAAGTTAGGGTGAAGTTTTAGAATTCCACAAAAGGTTTTTTTTTCAAGATGGCCGCCGTTGCCATGACACCCATATTTTCTGAAGAGACCCTGATGCATGCACAAATATTCCCTTAAGTACCCTAACTTATACATAAACAAATAAATAATAAAAAAGCGCATTACTTAAGAATTTTTTATCTACGGGGCTTACACCTTAAAATGTTCCTTTTATTGCTTTAAAGAGAAAACGGGATTGCAAAACTGGGATTTTTTCCGATTTAAAAAGTTGTAAAACTTTGAGCTTTGTTAATTTCTCGATTCTAAATAGATACTTGGCGTAACTGCAATACTTCTCATTGTATGCCTACTCACAGTACGCAATACACCGGAAAGTAAAAAAAAATATTTTTGTATTTAATAATAATCATTAAAAAAGTTTTAAAAAACCCACTTTTTCTGATTGAACTAAAAAGTAGAAAATAAATACTATACATCACAATAATGCAAGCGATCACTCTACTATAAGCGATCAAAAACGTGGGGCGCCGAAGTAAAAGTTATATTACTATTGATTAGATAATACTATTGACTTTTATTAGGGAGCTTGTAGAGAGTCAACAGTATTAGAAAACGTGGGGAAAAAAAGTCAACTTGGCTGCAATATTTTAACGTTTCGAGTTTTTTTAGTTGTCTTTAAATTACTTGCTCCTAGTCTATTATCACGATAAGTAATGTGTCATTACTTTTGTTAAAGAATTTTCTGAATATAGTATTATTTAAGGAAGCTGTTTTGTTAGTTGTCTTTAAATTACTGCCTATTAGTCAATATTCACGTTAAGTAAAGTGTCATCAATTTTGTTACAGAAAATTCTGAATATAGTTTAAGCGAATTTTACTTGGAAGCGTACGAAACTATTGGCGGGCGTGTAGTACACAGATTTGAGGATATCCCAAAACTCAAAAAGGTATCGTTTTACAACTGGACAATCAAAGCCGTCGCAGCTCAGCAAGTCAGGATTCATATTAGGAAACAGCAACTCATTATTTGTGAGTTCCAGGTTTTTGGAGGTAAATATAGTCGTCTTATTCAATTCTATTTGAATTTGCATGCACAATAATAACGTGTGTATATGACTTTGAATACATGTATGAGTAGTATTTTGGTTATAAGTGTTCAATAGGCATATTATTATAACTTGTAAGCAGAAAATGATGGGTTCTTCAGTCTAGGGATATCCAAGCACAACACAGCGTATATCGTACCATACAACAGACTAGATGACAGGAACGATAATACTAAGTAATACTAAGGATATATATATATATATATATATATATATATATATATATATATATATATATATATATATATATATATATATGGTTCCATGACAAATGATCTCAGGACAAATGATCTCAGACAAAATATCTCAGACAAAATACCTCACGGACAAATGATCTCAGGACAAATGATCTCAGGACAAATGATCTCAAGGACAAATGATCTCAAGGACAAAAGATACCAGGACAAAATATATCAGGACAAATGATATCATGGACAAATGATCTCAGACAAAATATCTCAGACAAAATATCTCACAGCAAAATGTTGATAGTATGTTCATTTGAACTTTTTTTTTTAAAATTGACTGTCAATATGGTTTTGTTTACTTTCTTTACGCATCATAATTGTGAATAAAATGAATGTGTTAAACTTAACAAACCATCAAAATATTTGTTTAACTTAATCTTTGTAATAGCATTTGATTTGAAAAAATAAAAATTAAAACAAACTTACTCCTTTGGCCTGAAAGGTATGATAAATCATAATGTATAAAACAAAGTAACGGTAGCTATACAACAATAATGTTTAAACCATGCGAAATATCTTTCAAAAATGTTAATGGATCTCTAGGTTCATAACGTAAAATTATTGTTTTTATTGCATGATCAACACAAACATAACGTTTACGTTTCTTTGCTGACAGTACATCGTTATGATCACACCTCTCCAATACTATGAGATCGTGTATTATGTGAACTCTTAATTGCTCGACATGTTCTAACTCCGCGATGACTGCTGTTTGTCTTAAATAAGCATTAGTCACCTGATCACTAAGGTGTGACCGACGCATAACTATTGAATTTAGCTATTAGTTGTATTGTTCATGGAGGGTAGATGTCTTTCCCTTAAGGCATTTCTCTACCATCAAAGCGGGCTGCCACCTTGATACGAAGGTGTTTCTCTATTGTTATTTCATCCTCTTTGATCTAGTTTCGTCCACCTGACATGGTTGGATTGTCTCATGTTTGGCAAGCCCGCCTACGCTGTCTATCGAAAAATTTCTTTAATCTTCTATAGTAATAATCCTAATTTTAAAATGGAATATACAATTTTAAAAGTGCAAAATGATAAATTTATACGGCAAACATTTCATACAATTATCATATGGACCTATAAACAATATTAAACATATTAAACAAAAGCATACGACAGTTAATAAAAATTGTTCAGATCAACTAAAATCACCCAATACACTATTAAAATTTAGGTGTAAGATATTTTGTCTGAAATATTTTGTCTGAGATCAATTGTCCGTGGTATCATTTGTCCTGATATATTTTGTCCTGGTATCTTTTGTCCGTGAGATCATTTGTCCTTGAGATCATTTGTCCTGAGATTATTTGTCCTGATATCATTTGTCTGTGAGATATTTTGTCTGAGATATTTTGTCTGAGATCATTTGTCCTGAGATCATTTGTCCTGTCACCATATATATATATATATATATATATATATATATATATGTATATATGTGTATATATATATGTATATGTATATATATATAATATACTACAATAATATTAAAAAAATTGTTAAAGGTTTACGACACAAATTACCATACACAGTACTTAACACACTCCACGTCCTCCTCAAAAGCCACACGCCAACCAACCGCCACACACCCTAGCACACGCTCTGACACCCGTCACCTGACACACCTCACTTGAACACCTCTCGCTACATGTAAACACACTCAACCGAGGGCTACAACTATATACAAATAGAGGACACCTGTCGATCGAGCACATTACACATACACACAATCAGGGGAAGCATGTAATGGACGTAACAGTATGTAACTTATATGTGCCTATTTATATAAGCATGCTCAAACCCTACGCAAATGCATATTTCAAATTAATTACAAATTATATTTAGAAACCCTGAAGTGATCTTGTTTAAACGATTTAGATAAAACGTGTGTAGCGATTTGGTTGATCGTAGATACTGTAAATACGTTTAAAATAATCGAAAATATTTCAGAAACACAATAGCGCCACAATAAAAATAAAGTTTGACAGAAGATTTAGTTACTTATATATCAGTGAGCTAGATCTCAATGTGTCAGCAACTATACTAATAATCCATTCAACAACATAAAATAAAGACCTAAAACATAAAATCTACTTGATTGTACGCTTGTGAATTAGTTTAAATTGCAGGTATTGGAATATGTAGATTTTCTTGTCTCCAGGGGGGTCTTATACAGGTGCAGGTTATCAAAAAACTCCATGCTAACTGTTGCGTTTTGGTTACAACAATTTCTGAATTTGTTCTTTACAGACTACGAGTGCGGCGGTCAACGCTACGGCCTTGAGTGCGAGAAAATGTGCAAGTGCTCGGGTAGATGTGCACCGTCTACTGGTTCCTGTTTGAACGGAACAGACTATTCTAAAAATAGTAGGTGAAATCATTATTTACACTGATTTGTATTTTATCTGAAAGGAATATATTATTCTAAAAATAGTAAGTGAAATCTTTTTTTACGCTTATTGGTATTATATCTCACCAACATCGCCAATAACGTGTGTTTGTTATTGGTTATGTATTTGACAGGATTAAGATGCGGAGACGTCCCTGTGGTCCTATATGGCAGCTGGATGCAATGCTCGCATCACGTCAATAGCGTGTGTATGCTCGTGTGTGATAGAGGATACAGTGTTGAAGGCAACGAGACGATAACTTGTCAAGGGGATGCGACTTGGACGGCGCCTGGTGTATGCACAAGTAATGTAACCATTTGTAACAAGTGATGTAAACAGTTGTAACAAGTAATGTAACAAGTAATGTAAACAGCTGTAACAAGTAATGTAAACAGCTGTAACAAGTAATGTAAACAGCTGTAACAAGTAATGTAAACACTGTAACAAGTAACAATTAATATAAACAGCAGTAACATTACATTTTAATCCTAATTAGTAGTTACAAACACAGCAACATTGTCTTAAGAAAAGGGGTCGGAGTGGTCAAGTCGGTAAAGGGGTCGTCCGTAAATGACGTCACACTCATAAGGGGGATGGGTTGGTCAGTAATTTTGTGACGGTGTGTGATAAGAGGGGAGAGGGGTCAGATGATGCGACGTCACACTTTTGCATTATAAATAAACCGGGAGTGATCTCCCCTAAACTTTCTCGAATATTCTTATATAAAATAACAGGGGATGGGAACTCGGGCTATAGACATGATTTTTAATCCATTTTAAATACTTAAAGTTTTAAAAACAGAATAAAATCTCGTAGAAAAAAGATTGCACACCAAGTGAACGCCAAATAAAAAAGTGCATAATAGTGCGCAATATTATTAGTACTTTAAAAATTTACATTAGTTTTTTTGAGAAATCGGAAGTAGCGTAAATTAGTACTTCCGGGCAACGGAAATTACTCAAAATTTGACAGAAGGTAGAGAATTAGATCTTATACTTACATGTGAAATTTCATTTATCTATCTGAAATAGTACTCAAGTTATAGGCTTTTGAAAAATTCAAAGTAGAAAAAGTACCACTTCCGGTTATCGGAAATCGCTCAAAAGTTGATACGGATATACGATTTTGATAAAATACTTATATATGAAATTTCATCAACCTAGCTGTAACGGTACTCAAGTTATCGTGTTTACACACGGACAGACACACACACACACACACAGACATACGGACAGAATTGCAAAGCCCAGTTTTTCAGACTGGATTACGCATAAAACCTCTTAATTTTGATAAATCTGGATTGATAATTTTTGCCCGATTAAAATAAGTCCTCTATACTTCGGATGTGATGAAGACTGAGGTGTAATACGGTGAAAATTGTTAAAATTTCAATTGATTTTTTGTGCACGATTACAATACTTTCTCTATACTTCGTATATACGAGAAAGTAAAAAGCAATGCTAGAAAACGGATTTTAGAAGTTATTTCGCGTTTTAGATAACTGTTTCAATAAATTGTAATAGGAATTGATTAAAATACTCTATTTTGACTACGTTCAGACAACATTTTAGAAAAATATCGATGATTAAAAAAAAAATTCAACTTCAATTTTGAGGGGGGGGGGTTGTAGGCTGAGGTGTGACGTCATTTTAGGGGAGGGGGTCTGGCTTTTTGTGACGACGTCATGCGGAGGGGAGGGGGTGGTGGTAAAAATCGTCCAAAAAAGTGACGTCATTTATGGACGACCCCAAAGCTCATGATTGGTAAACTGAAATGACAGTCTCGAGTCATCAAACCCTCGGGCAGATGAGGCTCGAGCGCAGGGGAAAGCAACTTTGCTGCCTTGTAGTTTGTTTGGTTGTACAAGGCTACGGAAGCAAGACTAAAGGAAAAAAAGCAGGCTCATTTCGGAATCAATGGCCTAAATGGCGCATAACAAGTTGACACGTATACACGAATACTTGATTGTGTTGTAGGTAATCCCTACCAGCACTAAAAATTAAGAACTAAGAAGAAGAGAAAAAAAATCATAACCAAACGCACACACTCATAAATATACAGAGGCATTTATACAGTAAAGCTCGGGCAGATGAGGCTCGTTAGCTGGGGACAGCCAGTCTTCTAGGAGAGACAACTTTAAAATCAAACGACTGCTGCCTTGTAGTTTATTCTTGGTTGGACAAAGGTTATGGAAGCTAATCCAAAATGAAAAGCAGGCTGAAATCGGAGTCAATGGCCAATATGTCGTATAACCAGTGGACACGTAATACTTAATTATGTTGAAGGGGATCCCTTCCAGAGATGTAGCGAAGGGGGGTTGCGCGGGGGACATAATTCCCCGGGCGCCGACATTAGGGGGCGCCAAAATGGGTTGGAAAAACAAGGGGGTGCAAATCGAAAGTTTGAGGGGGGTGCAAATCGAAAGTTTGTCCCCGGGCGCCGGGAAGGGTCGCTACGCCTCTGATCCCTTCGAACACTTAAATTAAGAACGAAGAAGAATAAATAAGGTATACAGTAAAGTTGTTGATACCAGGAGTTAACTTTCACAAAAGAGTAAATGTTATCTCTCATTCAATGATGGTTCCTCTGATTGCAGTACTAAAATGCAGCAGTGCAGCGCTGGTGCCACATGGCAAATGGATCTTCTGTAGACACCGCGAATGCCAGCTGAAATGCAACAAAGGATTTACACTAGAAGGGAACACACACATCACATGCCAAGATAACCTTCAGTGGACTGCTCCTGGGAGATGCATACGTAATTCTTCTTTTCTCAATTTCACTACCAATAACATACACATTACACAAGACTGGTTATAAGATATGCATATTCTAGCTAGACGCTCTACCTCTGTTAAATTGAAGCCATGCCTGTTTTAGCTAAAAGCCATACCTATGCTGTGTTGTAGTGATGACTAGTATAATAGTAATATAATAAGCCATAGGCCTACTTTGGTTATAATAAAGAGATGTCTGGAATAACTAAAAGCTATTTGTTGTAATGTAGAGATGAAAAGTCAGACTAGAAGCAGGCTATTGTCTAGTTAGAAACTTTGCCTTTGCAAGCTTATGAAACAATCTTTAGAGTGCTTTTTCACTTAAAGAATTTGGCTTACTTATAACAATACTTTCAAATTTAAATTGACAGCTAGTATGCCCATGCTTAAGTTTTCTGGATTTTTATTTTTTGTAATACATAAATAATATTTTTCACAATGTGAATTATTTAAATATTTATTACTAAAATTATTTTATTTGTGAATATTTATTTCATTTTTATAAAATCAAAGCCAACTATAAGTTAGTATCAATTGACATGCAAAATGTAAAAACGTTATATTAGAAAAACCGACTGCTTTTTTTTATTACTGCCCATAGTAATTTTAATAAATGCAAATTGTCAGCTTAATTCCAGTCGTTTATTATATTTGTACATAGCTTAGATTTAAAACAGCGACTGCTTTCGGGGATTTGTTTGCATAAGTACAGCCCTAAAGTTTTTACATAATGATAGATACTATACGTGTAGCACACATTTATTTCTGTGGTAATTAAACCTTGGGACAGAAAACAAAGCCTCGCTTGACCATTATATTTAATTTCGTTCAGGGTGGTATATTTTAGTGTAATGTTCCGTAAGTTGTACATTTTAGTATAACGTTCCGTAAATTTTAGTGTAACTTTCCGTAAATTGCAACTTTAAAACTGCTAATTTATACGATACATAACAAACTAAATAATTAAGAATATAATTTTAAAACCCCACTAATTTCATTTTAGATACATCCAATAGTTGTGATGAACCGTGGTATGGACCAAATTGTTATTATAGTAAGTACTAAAAACATTGTGTCCATATAGTAAATTACATGATAATAGAGATTATATTTCACCCACTGCCCCCCTGTGGTCACCCACTGCCCCCTGTGTTCAACTACTGCCCCCTATGGTCACCCACTGCCCGATGTTGTCACCCACTGCCCCCTGTGGTCACCCACTGCCCCTGTGTTCACCCACTGCCCTTGTATTCACCCACTGCCCCTGTGGTCACCCACTGCCCCCTGTGGTCACCCACTGCCCCCTGTGGTCACCCACTGCCCCTGTGGTCACCCACTGCCCCCTGTGGTCACCCACTGCCCCCTGTGGTCACCCACTGCCCCCTGTGGTCACCCATTGCCCTTGTGGTCACCCACTGCCCTTGTGTTCACCCACTGCCCCTGTGTTCACCCACTGCCCCTGTGGTCACCCACTGCCCCCTGTGGTCACCCACTGCCCCTGTGGTCACCCACTGCCCTTGTGGTCACCCACTGCCCTTGTGTTCACCCACTGCCCCCTGTGGTCACCCACTGCCCCCTGTGGTCACCCACTGCCCCCTGTGGTCACCCATTGCCCTTGTGGTCACCCACTGCCCCTGTGGTCACCCACTGCCCCCTGTGGTCACCCACTGCCCTTGTGGTCACCCACTGCCCTTGTGGTCACCCACTGCCCTTGTGTTCACCCACTGCCCCTGTGTTCACCCACTGCCCCTGTGGTCACCCACTGCCCCCTGTGGTCACCCACTGCTCCCTGTGGTCACCCACTGCCCCCTGTGGTCCCCCACTGCCCCCCTGTGGTCACCCACTGCCCCCCATGGTCACCAACTGCCCCCTGTGGTCTACGTGTAAGTACACCAACCCTGGACCAACTATGGCACTGAAGGACAAGCGACTCAACCAGTCACCTGACAGATAATATAGTTTTATAATATATGTGTGTTTGTATGTATGTAAGTTTTCAATATCGCTGTAAATTAGAATACCACATGCGTTATTAATAATAGAAAACATAAATTAATAGTGTTTATTTACGTTCTTTACAATTACGTTAAAAAAATGTTCCGCTATTTTTCTTAAAACAGAAAATCTGTTTTACCTGGCGAGCGCAGTCTATCCGCAGGATCTTCGTGTAAATAGTAGCTGTTTCCTCACTGATGTACTCGATATAAAATTTGATGCAGAAACTACTTTATTTCACTCCGGCTGAACTTTTTAAGAAAGGGTATGTGGAGGTTTGTAGGTCTTAGAACATAATGTAGAATTTTTTAGGAATTTAAAAGACACGGTGTGCTTATTGGTAGGTATGTATATATCGTTATGTGCATTTAAGGGGTTAAGGGATCGATTTATTTTTGAACATGTTTATTTAATAACTTCACGATTTATTCCTAATTCTAGCTCTACAGTTCTACACATAATTTATACTATTAAACTGACAATTACTTGCTACCACTAAAATGATTTACACCTTAACTATATCTACACGCTACAAACTCTAACTCAAATAGCCTGATCAGTTGACCGTCACACATGAACGAATTCTAAGTTGTCGAACTATTAGAATCGTTCTTACTCCTCGGTTATGCTTCACTGATGGTTATATCAAAACGTCTAAATATAGTTGCATTTACCTCATAAAGCACAACAAGGGACTGTATTGTATATTCCGTGTTAATGCTTTTTTATAAATCAAGTCATATTATGTATACAGTTTGGAAATACAATAATCATCACGTCTAAAAACACCGAAGATAATATTTCAAGCAAGTAGACGATTTTTTAACGGGGCCAAAGCGTGTTGCGTCGTTTAACTTTTAAAATTCTGCATTGTGAAAAATTCGTCATTTTATTCTACCATTCCAGAAAAAGATATGAATGTTACAGTTTCCCAAAACGTTTTAACGGAACTGTTTTCATAGACGATTTTTGAGGTGTTTAAAGAGTGCTGTATAGTTATACATCTCGTCATAATAAAAATTCGTCGATTTACTCTATTTCAGAAAAAAGAAATGAATGCTATAGTTTTCCAAAGACTTTTTAAAAGAACTGTATTCATAAACGATGTTGTATGTGTTTAAAAAGTGTTTCGTAGTTTAATTTTTAAAATGTGTGATTATAAAAATTCGTCGATTTACTCTGTTTCAGAAAAAGAAGATATAAATGTTACAGTTTCCCAAAATTTTTTCAACGGAACTGTTTTCATAGACGATTTTTATGTGGTTAAAGAGAGCTGTATAGTTTAACTTTGTTATATTCGTCATTATTAAAATTCTTCGATTTACTCTATTTCATAAACAGTTTGTGTATAAAACTTTTTAACGGAACTGTATTCTTAAACGATGTTAAACAATTCGTCATTTTAAATATTCGTCGATTTACTGTTTCAGAAAAAGAAGATGTGAATGTTACAGTTTCCCAAAAACTTTTCAACGGAACTGTAGTCTTGTGCTCCAATCCTTTGATTTATTGGGTCGATGAATTTACCTTCGAATTGGAATGTGAAACAAGAAATTTTGTAACTGAGATTGGAATTAAATTATCGTTTCATGCTTACATCTGCCACGTCACCGTGAACGGAGGTCGGTGTAATATTTCTTAATATTAATATATCTTGTATAGTCGTAATATAATATACTATGTGTAATATTTTATAGTCGTAATATAATATATACAGTGTAGTATTTTTTCGTCATAAAAATAATATACTCAGTGTAATATTTTAAGGTCGTAAAATAATATAGCCTACTCCGTGGAATATTTTAAACTCGTAATATAATATACTCGGTGGAATATATTTTAGTCGTAATATAATATTCTCAGTGTATTATTTATAGTCGTAATATATTATGCTTAGTGTAATTTTTAAAGTCGTAATATAATTATCTTTGTGTAATATTTATAGTCGTAATATAATATTTTCAGTGTAATATTTATTGTCGTAATATAATATACTCAGTGTAATATTTTAGGGTCGTAATATAATTATCTTTGTGTAATATGTTTAGTCGTAATTTAATAAACTCATAAACTAAATATTATCGTTATAATCTAATATATAAAGCTCAGTTCTGTATGTAATGCATTTGTATGTCGTTGGAATTGTACGATTTTAAGTGTTAGAAAAATTATCGTGCGCATTTGTCTAAATTTATGAGCTAAAAAATTACCATTGAAAGTGTTGGGAAATAATTTTCATTTTTCAAATTATAGTAATAATTATCGGCATGTTCATTAAACACAAGTTTTAAAAAAAATATCATCTTTTACAAAAATTCTAATTATGTCTTTATTTAGTCCTATAGCACTTACTTCCCTTTGATAAATTAGGAAAAACACAATTACTTCCCTTTATAAAAAACCATTGCATTCCGTGAAAATAATTTACTTTTTAATTACTTTGTTTTGGTGTTGGAAAAAAAAATAATTACATAATTAGCGGGGATTGATCAAGTGCAAATGTTGTAGGTATTTTACGGATAAGCTTGGAGTATTAAAATTGTTCATCAAATTGAAACAGGCGCGTTCGTTTAAGTCAGTGCAAAAGACTATGAATAAGTTGGGGTACTATAGTCGTTCATTAAGCTAAAACAGGTGATTCCGCCCCGGGCGTTTATGTTCGCGTTAGTGTTTTCTTTGTGTTTAGGTGGGTTTGCGTTAGTGGTTGCGTTTTGATTTGGTTCGTTTTTGTTCTTTCTTTTTTCGTTTTTGTTTGTGTTTTTTTTGTTTGGGTTTGTATTTGTGTTTTTGGTTGGTTTTGCGTTTGGATTTGGTTTGTTTTCGTTTGCTTTTTCGTTTTTTTTTTTGTTGGTATTGGTGTTTGTGGTTGGGTTTGTTGTTAGGTTTTTGTTTTCGTTTGCATTTTTGTTTGTTTTTTCTTTGTGTTTGTATTGGTGTTTGTGGTTGTGGTTGGGTTTGTTGTTAGGTTTTTGTTTTCGTTTGTATTTGTAATTGTGTTAGCGTTATGTTTGCGTTTTGTTGTTTTGGTTGGTTGTGGTTTGGGTGGGAAATGCCGGGTTTAGGATGATTACTAAACACACAGGTAATGGTCTTTAACAGAAAGGTTTTTCACAGAAGCCAGAGCAGGGCCTGGCCGGGACGGCTAGTATAATATACTCAGTGTAATATTTTATAGTCGTAATGTAGTATTCTCCGTGTCATATTTTGTAGTCATAATATAATATACTCCATGTAAGAGTTTATAGCTGTAATTTAATATACTAGCAGAATATTATTTTCTCATAGTGGTAAATAAATTTCGCATTACTTTTCTAGGCAGAAATATAATTAAAGAATCCAATGTCCTCGTAACTTCTGATGGTAAAGACACTTATGTTTCTAACGAAGAGTACCAAGTGGTATTTGATGACTACGAAGACGACGATAAGTGCCTGATTGTTGCGAAGCCTGGACAAAGCATCGCTTGCAAATCGACATTCAAATGGCCACGTGTGGTTTACCAAATCCTTATTTATACCAGCGGTGGGAGGAACTGTATTTCTAACTCTATTGTAATAATTATGTAGTCAATACAATATGAAAAAAAAAATTAAAAGTTACGACAAAACTCGAAGTCGGTTTTACACGAATATGTCGGCCAATTCGAGCATTAACCGAGATAAACTTTTATTGACAAGCCAAATTCTGAATTAGAAGATAATAAGCAGTTTTTCGGGATTCGTCTGGTTGGAGTAGGGTTGGGTTCGGTTGTTATACTTATGGGGTTTATCTGTAGTTTAACAAACTTTTTTAATGTTTGTAGGGTTTGGGTTTATAACTACACATTTTCGTGTGATAAAATATACACCAAATTTTAGTCTCTACTTCTGTGTTAGAAAAAAAAAACGTCAAAATTTATTACTTTTAGAAAGTATAAAGGGTGTGGATTATTGATAATCAGCCTATTAGCCAAACGGTTCTTTTTAGTAAGTGTCACATTGCATAATGAATGCTTTATATACACAAGCCAAGCAATAGGCTAATCGTAATTAAATAGCACCCAGAATGATTGAGATTAACGAGTTGACGAGAACTCTATTAAAAATATTGTTGAAATGGGGAAAAAATAGTATAGTTGGTTTTTCTAAAAGAGTTGGTTTTTTCGACCAAGAAAGCTGAGCAATATGCGCATTGCCGCACGTGGGGATATATATATATAAATATATATATATATATATATATATATATATATATATATATATATATATATATATATATATATATATATATATTCGTGTGTGTGTGTGTGTAGGTTTGTGTGTGTGTAGGCAGATTTTTTTATTATTTTTTAAAATAAATCACAAATCAACATATGCGCATTGTTGTTGTTCTCTAGGAAAGACAGGTAGCGTCATGAAAGATTTTAAGGTGGAGCTTTTGAACGACGACTATGATGTCGTATTTTCGGAGACTTTTCATAATTTCTCAACTTTCTACAAAATCAACGTCCCCTACAGTGGTCTAGTGTTGGGCATTGTTTTGAACGCAAGCGATGTGCTAACACTATGTGAAATACAGGTTTTCGGCGGTGAATAGCATATTTAGCTGTTCTTGTTTTTGTTGTTTTACTTGTTATATAATTGGATTATCAATTTTAGAAGATTGAAAATTCGTTATACATTCTGAAATTTTATTACACAGAACAAACATGAGTTTATGCATTTAATCTCCCGAAATATTTAACTTTGTGTATTGAGTATAGATAAAGTATTGAAGTGCAAGAATTCTAAAACGAGATGTTCACTAATATCAACAAATAAACCCGATAACATGCATACAGAACTTGAAAATTTCATAGGTGTACAGTAATTTTGGTAAGAACTAAGCAATTGTATAATCTCGAGCGTAAATGAAACTATACAAATAAGTTCAAAAAGAGAATTTTAAAGATTTCAACATTGTGTCACAGAAGACAGTTTATTTCAAATTTATTTCGAATTTTTTCAATAACAGTAACAACAGTAGGCACGGAGGCTTTTTTTCACATTGGCCGTTGTTTCTAAAGCTCCCAAAGCACTTTACATTTTGTCAAGCCAAACAGTTGGTGATTGAAGTATATTTAAAGCGGGCGTCGTTCAGCGCAGAACATGGTGGCGGTGCGATACACCATACAGTCTGTCCAGTTTGCTTCATTTGAGCATCACGTAATTTTGGAACATCGTAATATTGCGATATTTGTTTTTATTGTATTAATGTTATTGTCCAGTTCAAATAAGAATTTTTGTTAAAATATTGAAACTAAAAGAAAAAAATTAATACGAATTGGCATATTATTAAAAATTTTCTGTACTCTAACAGCATGCTACAACTATGAAAAGCTAGAAATAGAACATAGAAATTCTGCTTCCCGTCCTTATGTCCAATAATAATCCTTTTCAATTAATAGTAGCATACCACGTATATATGTTATCTCGTATACCTAGGATAACGAAATTCCATGTAATTTGTAAACGTTTACTTAGTGAACACACGATACGTTTGACACCTATCACTGAAAAATAAAAATGTAACAGGACTAGGAATATTTAAAGCCGAGCATTAAAAAAAAAAGGATTTTTAACAATCTGGTTCTAGGGAACGTAAATATATGCATATGTATATATATATATATATATATATATATATATATATATATATATATATATATATATATATATATATAACACAGAGAATATATTTCAGAGTGCGGTAAAAGAAGATACGGTATAGATTGTAGCGAAGTATGTAGCATCACATGTTCTGACCAAGATTGTCAGTTTACTGGGGTTTGTAAGAAATGTGTACGTAACAGAATTGGGGAATACTGTCTTGATTGTGAGTAACATCACGTATAAAGTCTTTTCTACGATATATATGTAATACCTATATATTGTATATATATATATATATATATATATATATATATATATATATATATATATATATATATATATATATATATATATATATATAATTGATGTGTAATTTCCTAACAGCTCTAGATGAAATGCGTAATTTTTCGCTGAATTCAAGTTCCTTGCAAATGTCCGCTACCAATCAAAGAGCTCGGTTCATGACGTCTGATGAGATTTATACAGTTATAACATCACTCATCATAGTCTTCCTCGTTATCTTATATCTGTGCTTCGTACCAAAGTAAATACAGACAATCTGAATCGGAATTCCACTAAATGAATACATCTAATGTTTTATTAGTCAACAAATCCTCTATTTATATATATATATATATATATATATATATATATATATATATATATATATATATATATATATATATATATATATATATATATATTTATATATATATATATATTTACAGGCCTCAAAATGCAACAAGTGCCAGGGAATAGAATACTATTGTTGACTAATATGCTATATTTTTTTTGGTATCTAATAAAGCTTTCAGGCTTAAATTAAATGCTTGTTTTTAATTTTCTACTTCTAAGATTAAATGATAATTAGAACAGTTTTCTTGCGTTTTAATATATATATATATATATATATATATATATATATATATATATATATATATATATATATATATATATATATATATATGTGTTTGTGTGTGTGTTTGTGTGTGTTTCTGTATATTTGTTTGTATGTGTGTTGGTCTGTAAAAGCTCTGAGAACTCACATATATTGTTGGTGGAAACTGGAAAATGTATATACTTATATTTCGTTGAATGTGACGGTAGACATGCTTTGAGGTGTGGGGGGAGGGGGGGGGGCGGGGCGGAGCACCATATCCCCAAGTAGAGTCGCCTGAAAGAAACTCTAAATGCGCCTTTTGTCATGATTGAGATAAGGTGAATGGCTTAGGGGTGTGGCTACGACTGTATTTAGTATCAATGCGCGGTAACTAAGTGTAGATCAAGTTTAAATCCGATTAAAATGACGATTCCTGATAAAAATCCGTTTTCAGAGTAATTTGTCGTTTCCGATTCAATTTGAGGTTAAGGTGGTGGCTTTGGTTTTGGTTTAGTGAAAATAGACAGCATTATCAACCTAGCGCCCGTTGTATCCTTCCTCAACGGGCCATTTTTCTCGTTCTATGTAATAGTTTCGATGTCTGTCTATCTATGTATCTATCTGTCTGACAAGAACGCTATAGAGAAAACACTAGCAATTTAAAAACTTTCACAGTGAAACGAAAACGAAATATGACGTCACATTTAGCATATAGTAGAAAATAATATCAAGCCGGAGAGTGCATACAGTAATATGACGTCATTGATTCTCGAGTAAACATTGAATAAAAAGGCAATTTTGTCTAATCTAAGTGGTTTGCGTGAAGAGTTTCTTTCATACAATTCTTCGGGTAGGGGCGAAGCCCCACCCCCGCGTAAGAACGTCTCAGCCCATCCCCCCCCCCCCCCCCCTCCCCAACTCAAAAGAAATTTCTTCATCGATACTCTATAATAAAATTACCGCCTAATTAATGTGTCTAATATAAAAAAAAAAGTTTACTTGCAATTTCTTTAATGCAATTTTTCGGATAGTGGCTAAGCGCGGCACCAGTGTTTCTTTCAGACTTTTTCCTCCCCGGAGGGGGAACTTTTTCTAATCTAAAAAGTGTTTAGCGTGCAGTTTTGTTTTCATGCATCTCTTCCGGTAGGGGCGGAGCCCCGCCCAGATTATTCCTTTAGTTTGTATGATCTACAAATGCGACCAGCGTTTCTTTCAGACTTTTTCCTCCCCGGAGAGGAGTGGGGGTACTTGAAATTGTCGGGGGTGGGGGTAGAATTTTCTGGGAGGGGGCGGACACTGGAAAAAGTATATAATTATATTTCATTGAATGGGACGGTTGACATATTTTGGGGGGTGTGTGTGGGGGGGGGGGGTGGAGCCCCCTCCTCTCAAGTAGAGTTGCAAGAAAGAAACTCTAAATGCGACTTTTTTCATGAATAAGATTAGTCTATATTTTGTATAAATTAAAGTACCGATTCAGGATAAAAATCCGTTTTTAATGTCATTTTTCGTTTCCGGTAAAATTGATATAAGGTGGTGATTTTGGTTTTGGTTTTAGTTTAGAGAAAATAGACAGCACTATCAACCTAGCGCCCGTTGTATTCTTCCTCAACGGGCCAATTTTCTCGTCAGATAATAATACTGCACCATTGTCGTGCCTAACATGTTGATAATATACTCGCCTACGTTCATCGTTCACGCAGAGAGTAGCCTACATAATTATGTGACAATGTATAGAACGGACATTTCTGCATCTAAAATGCGCACCGACAAATGAGAAGCAATGCCTATATGTGCGCCATGTTTGAACACAATGTTTGAAAACAATGTTTGAACCTTTCTAACATACAGGAAGTTAATCTTTCTTACACAACAAAAAGTGGCAAGGAATTACACATGTACTGAACAGATTGACAAATGGTGGGATTAATTAAATGTTTTTAGACACGTAAACATTATTAACAATACCTAATTCGATATAATTTGTATACATTAGATTAGAGCATAGACCAAAAATGAAATGTAAGAGTAATGATACTCAAAGGTAGATTAAAATTAATATACAAGAGTGTTACACACAAAAAGTGATCTACCATAAACTTTCTCTAATATTCTTATATAAAACTACGGGAAATGGCTATGGGGGATAGAGAAATTTTTTTTCAAAATAAATGTTTAATTACTTAAACTTTTAAAAATAGAATATAATCTCGTAGAAATAAGAATTGGGCACCGGGTGAACGCCAAACAATGTGTGTATCATAGTGCGGAACATTAGTACTTTATAAATTCATGTGCTGTTTTTGAGAAATCAGAAATAGCGTAAAGTACTACTTCAGTAAAATTTCGTCTATCTAACTGAAACAGTACTTAAGTTATAGTCTTTTGAAAACCAAAAATAGAATAGGTTCCAATTAAGGTTACGGGAAATCGCTAAAAATTGATACTGATGTACACATTTGATGTAATACTCTTATATATGAAATATCATCAACCTAGTTGTAACGTTAATCAAGTTGTTGTGTTCACTAACACACAGACATTCGGACAAGATTGCAAAATTAAGTTTTTCCGACTCAGGGAGATCTAAAGCGTCGAGATTTGTAGACATCTAGATTTCTATTTTTTTTTTTGCACGATTACAATTCTTCCTCTTTAATCCGTATACGAGATAATAATCAGTCATTAGCGTAAATTTCATTCTATTATAACAAAAGCAGTCTCTTAATTCTCATGACACCCTGTGATGTGGTCATTGATATCATAAAAAGATAAATGTTTATTTCATCAACCTCACAATTTCAGTGACTACATAAGCAGTATAGAGACAAAAACACCCCTCGCAATCTATCTAGGCCTGTCTAGTCCAACATATACCAATAATTTATTCCATCAACAGGCAAGCACTCTCTAACACTAGCTTAAAAATTCAGATTTCTATAATTCTACAACGAATCAAAACAGTATTAGATTATCCCTCCACCGCTTACTATGCAATCACACTTTTTTGCGTTTTTTTTTTAAAATCCTAAATTATATCTCTCCCTATGCATATACATTTGATTCAATGTAGAAATATTAACAATATTTACTTAATTACTTTAAGGGCGTAGGCTTAAACTGTTTTAATACTCGTTAGGAAACAATTGTGTCTTTATAGCTGTTTTAAGGTACATCTGCATATGTTTCCATAAATCTTAGTAACCACGGCGGTCATCTTGAAAAATTAACCCATTCGTAATTTTTACCACCATTCATAAAATATTACATTTTAAGCCCAATATACAATGAATTCATTATCTTCTACCATATTTTGGGGTAATCATTTAAAAATTTCAAGTGCACTTCTTCAAATTATTTTATTATGAATTTTCAAATTGTGGGTCCATTAAAAACTAGTTTTAATATTCCATCATTCTCCAAAATTAAGTGTTTTTAACGGACACAAATTTTGAAAATTTTAAATAAATTACTATGTATTCTATTCTTTATGCTCTTTTTGCGTATATATATATATATATATATATATATATATATATATATATATATATATATATATATATATATATATACATATATATATATATATATATATATATATATATATATATACATATATATATATATATATATATATATATATATATATATATATATAATATATATATATATATATATATATATAATGTCTCTGTGTGTGTTAAATGAATATATGTTAGAGCTATTTATCATGGTTATGATTTTGGTAGAGTTGTGCTTTTGTTCATTTACCAAAACAGAATATATATTTTTTAGGAGAGACAAGTGACTAGTCTCGTCGTCTCGTTGACGTTCTTGCTTTACGCAAGCTCAGGTAGGAAGTTTTTTTTTCTTTTAATTATTAGATTCATATTGAGATTGATAAAAAATAATAGATCTTTAAACTATTTTCTTAGAATATCTTATTTAACTTGATAACTCATTATTTTGTCTTCATCTAGAGCCGATGATTAAGCGAAAAATTTCGGATACTTCTGGAGGAAATATATATTATATATGCATAATAAATACATTATATATATATATATATATATATATATATATATATATATATATATATATAATGTATATATTATGTATATATATATATATATATATATATATATATATATATATATATATATATATATATATATATATATATAAATGTGTGTGTGTGCAATTTTTTATGATTAATGTAGCAATATCAACGCATTAAAGCTTATCAATTTGCTAATTTTTTATTCAATTAAAAGATCCTTGTGCAGATGGGTGGGTTGGACCTGATTGCAGTTATCAGTGCCATTGTGCTGACAATTTATGCAATCCTAGTGGTAGCTGCTTGAATGGACGTGATTGTGCTGATGATTGGTTTGGTCCATCATGCCAATACTGTAAGGCAAAAATATTTTTTTTTTTATTTATCGACTTTTGCATCAGATGTTCGTTGTAGGAAATGTAAGATGTATTTTCTCTGCAGCTAATTTGGTAAAAGAAATGGAGGCAATGAACCCCGATAGACCTGAACTCAGAGACCAATCGAAAACCACATGCTTAGATGTCGATGTTTTGAAATTATCCTGGGAAATACATTATGATTTCAACTGGATTAGACTATTCACCGAAAATAGTGGTAAGTCCCTACAAGTACGAGTGTGAGTGTCGGTGTGAGGGTGGGTTTGAGTGTGAGTGTGAAAGTGAGTGTTTTGTGGGGGTGCGTGTGGGTGTAAGCGTGAGTGTAAATGTGGGTGTGAGGGTGGGTGGGTGTGAGTGTGAAGGTAGGTGTGTGTGTGAGGGTGGGTGTGAGAGTGGATGTGATGGTGGGTGTGAGAGTGAGTGTGGGTGTGAGGATTGGTGTGAGGGTGAGTGTGTGTAAGGATGGGTGTGAGAGTGGGTGTGAGTGTGGGTGTGGGTGTGATGGTGGGTGTGAAGGTGAGTGTGAGTGTGAGGGTTGGTGTGAGGGTGACTGTGGGTGTGAGTGTGAGGATGGGTATAAGTGAGAGTAAAATGAGTGTATATATTGTAATCTGTACGTTTTTACTACTGATTTATATATTGCACGTTTTTTCAAATCTAAATTCCTCTGTTCACGTTACTAAATGAATACTAATACACCGGACCCCAAACTCAACCTTATACTCAATCCTGCATTATTAAGTACGTTCAACGAATCTGTAAAAATTCCGGTTACTCGTTGGTGTCTATGTAAACAGATGTAATGATTTTATGCTGTCACCGTATAAAGTGCCTTGCCGTGGCATGTCAACTTGAATGCTCCAATTACCGTCTAGGTGTGACAATTTAAATGCTCTGATGACGTGATAGTTGTGTCAGTTTGCATATTCAAATGCCGTTATGGTGAGATGGTTTGCATGCTCCAATGGCCGTTATGGTGAGCTGGTTTGCATGCTCCAATGACCCTCAGACCCTGCTCCTGGACCGTCTAACCAAGCTGACAGGCTGATCAGGAAATGGGCAAGAACAAAGTTTTCATAACCCTGCCCAAGTGTTTTTGGTTTTGCCATGGGCCAACAGCCTTTACATGAAAAAAAAACCGTCGCAGAAACCGAAGAAGCAAAACCATCAAACACTGTCAGAGGAGAGATCAGAGCTCAATAAAGCTGTGTGGTAAAACTTAAGTGGATCCTATAAGGCCGGCTTCTCTTCTCACAACAATAAAAAGAAAATATGTCGTTATCCAAAAATATCTAACAGCTTGGGAACTATATGCTACAAACTATATGCTACAAACTTTATGCTACAAACTATATGCTACAAACTATATGCTACAAACTTTATGCTACAAACTATATGCTACAAACTATATGCTACAAACTTTATGCTACAAACTATATGCTACAAACTATATGCTACAAACTTTATGCTACAAACTATATGCTACAAACTATATGCTACAAACTATACGCTACAAACTATATGCTACAAACAATATGCTACAAAATATGTGCTACAAACTTTATGCTACAAACTATACGCTACAAACTATATGCTACAAACTATGTGCTAGAAACTATGTGCTACAAACTTTATGATACAAACTATATGCTACACACTATACGCTAGAAACTATATGCTACAAACTATATGCTACAAACTATATGCTACAAACTATACGCTACAAACTATATGCTACAAACTATGTGCTAGAAACTATGTGCTACAAACTTTATGATACAAACTATATGCTACACACTATACGCTAGAAACTATATGCTACAAACTATATGCTACAAACTATATGCTACAAACTTTATGCTACACACTATACGCTAGAAACTATATGCTACAAACTATATGCTACAAACTATATGCTACAAACTATATGCTACAAACTATATGCTACAAACTTTATGCTACAAACTATATGCTGCAAACTATATGCTACAAACGTTATGCTACAAACTATATGCTACAAACTATATGCTACAAACTATATGCTACAAACTATACGCTACAAACTATATGCTACAAACAATATGCTACAAAATATGTGCTACAAACTTTATGCTACAAACTATATGCTACAAACTATATGCTACAAACTATATGCTACAAACTATACGCTACAAACTATATGCTAAAAACTATGTGCTAGAAACTATGTGCTACAAACTTTATGATACAAACTATATGCTACAAACTATACGCTAGAAACTATATGCTACAAACTATATGCTACAAACTATATGATACAAACTATATGCTACAAACACTGGGCCGAAGTCAATTACAACTCCATTACGACTCCACTACAACTCCACTACAACTCCACTACAACTCCACTACAACTCCACTACAACTCCACTACAACTCCACTACAACTCCACTACAACTCCACTACAACTCCACTACAACTCCACTACAACTCCACTACAACTCCACTACAACTCCACTACAATTAAAAGAAACTTTTAGTAGTCTTTATGTACTTATATTTCCAGAGGAGATAAATGGATCCATCGCTCTAACGTTTAGCAGCAGTGAAGGTCCTGTAGAGTGTTCCAACCTATTCAAAAAACCAGGCTGGGGTGCCTTTGATTTTTTTTTCAACATCACCGGCCTATCAAACGGCTTCGAGTTTCAGTTTGAGACACCCGTGTCTGTTTGTGCAATTTTCGTAAGTGGAGGTGAGATATTGACACACGTTAATGCCAGATTAGTGAGATATTGACAAAAGTTAATGCCAGATTAGTGAGATATTGACACACGTTAATGCCAGATTAGTGAGATATTGACACAAGTTAATGCCAGATTAGTGAGCTATTGACTCAAGTTGATGTCAGATTAGTGAGATATTAACACAAGTTAATGCCAGATTAGTGAGCTATTGACACAAGTTAATGCCATATTATTGAGATATTGACACAAGTTAATGCCAGATTAGTGAGCTATTGACACAAGTTAATGCCAGATTAGTGAGATATTGACAAAAGTTTATGCCAGATTAGTGAGATATTGACACACGTTAATGCCAGATTAGTGAGATATTGACACAAGTTAATGCCAAATTAGTGAGCTATTGACTCAAGTTGATGTCAGATTAGTGAGATATTAACACAAGTTAATGCCAGATTAGTGAGCTATTGACACAAGTTAATGCCATATTATTGAGATATTGACACAAGTTAATGCCAGATTAGTGAGCTATTGACACAAGTTAATGCCAGATTAGTGAGATATTGACACTCAATAATGCCTGATTGGATGTACAATTTTAGTGTCAGATGACAAGCATTGATCAAATTACCTAAAACTGAATGTAAAATAAAAATAAAACATAATGTAATATGACGTTGATTATAACAATGATTCGCAGGCCGGAATGTTGCCGTCCGACAAAATGTTACACTATCTAGCGAACACGTACTCTACCCGGCTGGAAAGGCAGTTGACGGAAATGATGACAGAATATTCCAGAATGGATCATGCAGTCAAACTAGATCTCTTACAACGGCCTCGCCTGAGCAACATTTCACTCTTACCTTCAAACGAAAAGTCAACATTAGAAGGTTTATTCTATTTAACGCCAGTAAGGGTGAATTAGTTAATTAAAACTTATCGATTACATATTTTTACTTTTAAGGTTTGCACAAGAAATGATACAATCGTCTTGGGTACATTAAGTGGGGTAGGCTCCAGAAAAAAAAAACTTTTTAATAAATACGTTTATTTATTTCTCTGTGTAAATCGAAGTTAGGGTGAAGTTTTAGAGTTCCACAAAAAGGTTATATTTTTCAAGATGGCCGCCGTTGCCATGACACCCATATTTTCTGAAGAGACCCTGATGCATGCACATATATTCCCTTAAGTACCCTAACTTATACATAAACAAATAAATAATTTTAAAAAGCTCATTTCTTAAGAATTATTTTCTCCGGGGCTTACCCCTTAACAAGTTCCTTTTATTGCTTTAAAGATGGAAAAGGGGATTGCAAAACTGAGTTTTTTTTCCGATTTAAAAAGTTGTACATCTTTGAGCTTTGTTAATTCCTCGATTCTAAATATATACTTTGCGTAACTGCAATACTTCTCATTGTATGCCAACTCACTGTGCACAATACAACGGAAAGTAAAAAAAAAATTTTAATATTTAAAAAAAGTTAACTTGGCTGCAATATTTTAACGTGTCGAGTACTTGTATTATTTAAGGAAGCTGTTTTGTTAGTAGTCTTTAAATTACTTGCTCCTAGTCAATTATCACGATAAGTAATGTGTCATTATTTTTGTTAAAGAAATTTCTGAATATAGTATTATTTAAGGAAGCTGTTTTGTTAGTTGTCTTTAAATTAATGCCTATTTGTAAATATTCACGTTAAGTAAAGTGTCATCAATTTTGTTACAGAAAATTCTGAATATAGTTTAAGCGAATTTTACTTGGAAGCATACGAAACTATTGGCGGGCGTGTAGTACACAGATTTGAGGATATACCAAAACTCAAAAAGGTATCGTTTTACAACTGGACAATCAAAGCCGTCGCAGCTCAGCAAGTCAGGATTCATATTAGGAAACACCAACTCATTATTTGTGAGGTCCAGGTTTTTGGAGGTAAATATAGTCGTCTTGTTCAATTCTATTTGAATTTGCATGCACAATAATAAATGGTGTGTTTGAATTTGAATACATGTTTGAGTAGTATTTGGCACGATGAGGCCTTGGGGCGATAGGACACGAGAGCCGTTGCCGGTTGGCCAACAAGTCTACTTAGAGGTAGTGAAAACTGACCTCGACTGACCGGCGCTTTATACGGGCTCTATTACGAAAAACGCTTTTGCCCAACGACCCCCCTTGAAATTTGTTTGGTGGTATGAGAACGTCTTGGGGTGTCACAAAAAAACTCGCCATGTCCGGGAAAAATAGGACAATGGGTCAAAACTGTCCAGTCGTATTTCCCTATATAATCTTTGTATTTTAGAGGAAAAACTGAGGGTAATTTCAACGAAGATTTCTGGGTACTTACCCTCTATATATCAGCTAATTTTGGGTATGATTATACGTAAATGTCTTGGCCGTAGGGCAAACTTGTCGGTTTTACTCAAAGCCCTCGAAGAGGGCTAAAAAGTGACCACAAGTGAAATTCTCTTTATATGAGCTCTATTAGGAAAAAAACTTTCGTTCGACGACCCCCCCCCCTTGATATTTTTTAGGTGGTAGGAGAACAACTAGTGGTGTCACGAAAAACTCGGCATATCTGGGAAAACTACGTAAAGGGGTCAAAACAGACCAGTTGTATTTCCCTATATAATCTTTGTATTTTATGGGAAAAACAGAGGGTCAATTCTACACGGATTTTAGGGTTCTTAAACGAAGTATATCTGGCTAATGTTTTGGATGCTCCTGGGCAAATGGATTGACCTGTAGGGAAAACTGTTGGTTTGACTCAAAGCCCTCGACGAGGGCTAAAACATGACCGTGAGTGAAAATCTCCTTATTTGAGCTATATAGCGGAAACATTTCTTTCCGAACGACCCCCCCCCCCCCTTAATATTTTGTGAGGTGGTAGGAGAACACCTAGGGATGTCATAAAAAACTCGCCATGTCCCGGAAAAATCTGGAAATGGGTCAAAACTGACCAGTTGTATCTCCCTATATAATCTTTGTAAAAAAACAAAGGGTCAATACAACAAAGATTTTTGGGCACTTACCTTTTCTATGTCTGGCTAATTTTTTGCATGCTCCTAGGTAAAAGGCTTGGCCAACTGTCGGTTTGACTTAAAGCGCTCGACTATAGATATAACGTGACCGCGAGTGAAAACCTCCTTATTTGAACTATATAAGGAAAACATTTCTTGCCCAACAGCCCCCCTCCTTGATATTTTGTGAGGTGGTAGGAGAACACCTAGCAATGTCAGAATAAACTCGCCACATCAAGGAAAAATCTTTAAATGGGTAAAAAATGACCAATGTGAATTCCCTATATAATCTTTGTATTTTATGTGGAAAAACAGGGTAATTTCAACATAAATTTTAGGATACTCATCCTCTATTTATCTGGCCATATTTTTGCATGCGCCTTTATAGATGACTAGGCCGTATGGAAAAACTGCTGGTCAGACTTAAAGCTGTCAACGAGGGCTAAAAAGTGACCGCGAGTGAAATTCTCATTATATAAGATATATATAAATAAATTAACGAACGATCTCCCTAATATTTTGTAAGGTTGTAGACCGACCCTGGAGGATAAAAAAAAACCATAATTCCCGTCGAATAAAAAACCCTTAGGGTCGTTAGATTTGTCCAGATGACGTATTTCATTATAAACAATTGTTGGTGAAAATGTAAACAAAGACATACCTCATTCGTTGAATTTTCAAAGGAGTTAACTTTTTAAAAATAATTATTTTTCAAACAATTATATACTATTGTGTCAGCTACTATACTAATCATCCATTTAACAAACAAAAATAAAGACCTAAAACATAAAATCTACGTCACTGTACGCTTGTGAATTAGTTTAAATTGCAAGTATTGGAATATGTAGATTTTCCTATCTCCAGGGGGGTCTTATACAGGTGCAGGTTATCCAAAAACTCCATGCTAACTGTAAGGGTGGGAAGATTAACAATTTTACCTGTATTAAACGTACAAAACGCTATACAATAATCAAGAAGTATCGGTAGATGGGTAGGCTATTCAGTTACCATTTATATATTTTGAAGATTGATTACGTCTCTAATGCAAAGCAAACAAGTCATGTTTGACTAAAAATGTACAATATGAAACCATTTCACGCAAAGTATTTCCCGTAAGCTATTATGAAAATACTAAAAAGTACAGTATCTTGAAAGTCCATGAGGTAGGTGAAATACATTTCTGTGAACTCAGCATATAAATGGATAGTGTGGTCAGCACTATGCGAAGCCGCTTTTACTTTCGCTAACTTGAGTGTCATCAGACACAAAGGCGTTGTTCTGACTTGAGCCCGGATTTGAATTCGAGATTTACAGGCTACCAAGCGAGCTAGACCACGCAGTCCCAAGTAAATGAAGAAACTCCCTGTTGCGTTTTGGTTACAACAATTTCTGGATTTGTTCTTTACAGACTACGAGTGCGGCGGTCAACGCTACGGCCTTGAGTGCGAGAAAATGTGCAAGTGCTCGGGTAGATGTGCTCCGTCTACTGGTTCCTGTTTTAACGGAACAGACTATTCTAAAATTAGTAGGTGAAATCATTATTTACACTGATTTGTATTTTATCTGAACGGAATATATTATTCTAAAAATAGTAGGTGAAATCATTATTTACACTGATTTGTATTTTATCTGAACGGAATATATTATTCTAAAATTAGTAGGTGAAATCATTATTTACACTGATTTGTATTTTATCTGAACGGAATATATTATTCTAAAATTAGTAGTTGAAATCATTATTTACACTGATTTGTATTTTATCTGAACTGAATATATTATTCTAAAATTAGTAGGTGAAATCATTATTTACACTGATTGGTATTATATCTCACCAGCACCATCGCCAATAACGCGTGTTTGTTATTGGTTATGTATTTGACAGGATTAAGATGCGGCGACGCCCCTGTGGTCCAATTTGGCAGCTGGATGCAATGCTCGCATCACATCAATAGCGTGTGTATGTTAGAGTGTGAGAGAGGATACAGTGTTGAAGGCAACGAGACGATAACTTGTCAAGGGGATGCGACTTGGACGGCGCCTGGTGTATGCACAAGTAATGTAAACATTTGTAACAAGTAATGTAAACAGTTGTAACAAGTAATGTAAACAGCAGTAACAAGTAATGTAAATATTTGTAACAAATAATGTAAACAGTTGTAACAAGTAATGTAAACAGCTGTAACAAGCAATGTAAACAGCTGTAACATTACATTTTAAAACTAATTATTAATTACAAACACAGCAACACGAGAAAAATGGCCCTTTGAGGAAGGATACAATGGGCGCTAGGTTGATAGTGCTGTCTATTTTCTCAGAACTAAAACCAAAACCAAAATCACCACCTTAATTCAATTTAACCGGAAACAAAAAATGGCACTGAAAACGGATTTTTATCCAGAATCGGTACTTTAATTTATACAAAATATAGTCATATGCATATCCCTAAACCATGCATCTTATCTCATTCATGACATAAGTCGCATTTAGAAAAGCAGACTGAAATCAGAGTCAATGGCCAATATGTTGCATAACCAGTTGACACGCACACTTAATTGTGTTGGAGGGGATCCCTTCCAACACTTAAATTAAGAACGAAGAAAGGAGATACAGTAAAGTTGTTGACACCAGTAGTTAACTTTCACAAATGAGTAAATATAATATATCATTCAATGATGATTCCTCTGATTGCAGTACTAAAATGCAGCAGTGCAGTGCAGGTGCCAAATGGCAAATGGATCTTCTGTAAGCACCGCGAATGCCAGCTGAAGTGCAACAAAGGATTTACACTAGAAGGGAACACACAAATCACGTGCCAAGATAACCTTCAGTGGACTGCTCCTGGGAGATGCATACGTAATTCTTCTTTTTTTTACATTCTCGTAACCAGAGTATAGAGAAAATATTGTAAATCGTGCAAAAAAAAATCGAATTTTTGCAATTCTCGACCTTTTACACCTCCTTGAGTCGAAAAATCATAGTTTTGCAATCTTGTCCGTATGTCTCTGTGTGTGTGTGTGTATGTCTGTCTGTTTCTCTGTAAACACGACATTTTGAGTACCGTTACAGCTAGGTTGATGAAATTTCATATACAAGTGTTATATCAAATTTGTAGTTCTGCATCAGCGATTTCCGATAACGGCAAGTGGAACTTATTATACTTTCAATTCTTCAAAAGCCTATAACTTGAGTACTATTTCAGACCGATTAATGACATTTGACATGAAAGTAAAAAATATAATTTTCTGTCTACTAGCCATTTTTTAAAGTAATATCCGTTGACTGGAAGTAATAATTTTCGCTATTTCCGATTTCTCAAAAAGCGCATGTGAATTTATAAATTACTTATAATATTCAGCACTATTATACACAGATTTTTTTGGCGTTCACTTGGTGCACAATTCTTTTTTTCTATTCTATTTTAAAAAGTTTAAGTAATTACAAATTGGATTAAAAATCATGTCTATATACCGAGTTGCCATTCCGCGTAGTGTTATATAAGAATATTCGAGAAAGTTTAGGGGAGATCGCTCAAGGTTTATTCCAAATACACTACCCATTACATACACATTACACAAGAATGGTTGTAAGATATGCATATTCTAGCTAGACGCCCTACCTCTGTTATATCGAAGCCATGCCTGGTTTAGCTAAAAGCCATACCTATGTTGTGTTGTAGTGATGACTAATAATATAACAAAAACCATAGGCCTACTTTGGTTATAATATAGAGATGTCTGGAATAACTAAAAGCTATTTGTTGTATTGTATAGATGAACTGTCTAGCTAGAAGCAGGCTATTGCAAGCTTATGTAACAAGCTTTAGAGTGCTTTTTTACTTATTACCATACTTTCAAATTTAAATTAACAGCTAGTATGCCCATGCTTAAAAGTTTTCAGGATTTTTATTTTTTTAATACAGAAATAATATTTTACAATGTAAATTATTTAAATATTTATTAATAAAATTATTCTATTTGTGAATATTTATTTAACTTTTATAAAATCAAGGCTAAATATAACTTAGTATCGATTGACATGCAAAATGCAAAAATGTTATATTAGAAAAACCGACTGCTTTTTTTTTTTATAACAGCCAATAATAATTTTAACAAATGCAAATGTTCAGCTCAATTCTAGTCGTTTATTATATTGTTACATAGCTTAGTTTTAAAACAGCGACTGCTATCAGTAGTATATTAGGTCCCTTTTGGGTGAGCAGGAGCAGGAGCAGGAGCAAAGGATATATAGGAAAATACTCACCCAGCCTGGTACAACGAGAAATAGCAAAATACTCACCCACCAGGCGGTGGTGGGTGAGCCGGCGGGACAACGACATATAGTAAAATACTCCCTGGGGAAGGTGGAGGTACATCGACATATAGTAAAATACTCACCCACCTGGGTGAAGGTGGGCGAGGGTGGGTGAGCCGGCGGGACAATCAGATATAGTAAAATACTCACCCACCCTAGGGTGGGTGAGCAGATGGGGGAGTAGATCAGTAGGTCACCACCGGTGACCTCGTGACGTAATCAGTGACCATGTGACGTAAACACCAGCGGTGACCTTGTTACGTAATTTTAATGAGTTTTAATGAGTTTTAATGAGTTTTAATAAGTTTTTAATTAATTTAATTTAATTTAATTACTTTGTTTATATTGTGTCATTTTTATTAACGAGCTACGTAATTTGATTTTGATTTTTTTAAATTTTAAATTTTTAATTTAATTTTATAATTAGTTTAATTATTATTATTAACGAGTTACGTAATTTGATTTTAATTTTTTTAATTAGGAGTAAAGGATATATAGTAAACGATTCCACAACCTAAGTGAGGTGGGTGGGGAGGTGGATTTTAATTTTAATTTTTAATTTTATTTTATTTACGGTTTTTTATTCAATCGAGTTTACTCCCCCTAACGTAAGTACATGTAAAGAGAGGTTTCCTATAGATCTGTAATGAAGTAGGCCTTTTTGACTATGACTTGTTGCCCAGGTGTTGACAAGATACGCTTTTTTTTTAGATACATGTACACACACACACACATACACACATACATACACACACTTACACACACACACACACATACACGCGCGCGCGCGCGAAATTCATTCTAGGTCGGTAAAAGCGGAGAGAACTTATAGGTATATATTATCATGGCGACAACAAAAGCGAACCTTATTTGATTTACAAAAAGGGTCACCATCCCGTTGTCATTTTCGCAGCGGTGTTTATTTTAAGTGCATCTCGTGCACGTTTGCTTACATTTTAAAAGTCGTGTCGCGTGTCTTCCCTAATAGAGAAACGAGAGGAAAGACAACTGTTTCCCTTTTGGTTAGCATGGGTGAGCAGGAGCAGGAGCAGGAGCAGGAGCAAAGGATATATAGGAAAATACTCACCCAGCCTGGTACAACGAGATATAGCAAAATACTCACCCACCAGGCGGTGGGTGAGTATTTTACTATATCCCGTTGTCCCGCCGGCTCACCCACCCTCACCTACCTGCTCACCCAGGTGGGTGAGTATTTTACTATATGTCGATGTACCTCCACCTCCCCCAGGGAGTATTTTACTATATGTCGTTGTCCCGCCGGCTCACCCACCACCGCCTGGTGGGTGAGTATTTTGCTATATCTCGTTGTACCAGGCTGGGTGAGTATTTTCCTATATATCCTTTGCTCCTGCTCCTGCTCCTGCTCCCGCTCCTGCTCACCCATGCTAACCAAAAGGGACCTAATATACTACTGCTATCTTAGATTTGTTTACAGATGTACAGCCCTAACGTTTCAACATAATGCTAGATACTATAGGTGTAGCACACATTTATTTCTATGGTAATTAAACACATATTTAATATCGTTCAGGATGGTATATTTTAATGTAACGTTCCGTAAATTGCAACTTAAAAACTGCTAATTTATACGACACATAAAATACTAAATAATTAAGAATATAAATATTAAACCCCCACTAATTTCATTTTAGATACATCCAATAGTTGTGATAAACCATGGTATGGACCAAATTGTTATTATAGTAAGTACTAAAAACTTTGTGTCCATATAGTAAATTACATGATAATAGAGATTATATAGTTTTATAATATATGTGTTTTGTATGTATGTAAGTTTCCAATATCGTTATAAATTATAATACCACATGCGCTATTAATAATAGAAAACATAAATTAATAGTGTTTATTTACGTTCTTTACAATTACGTTAAAAAATTTTCCGCTATTTTTCCTAAAACAGAAAATCTTTTTTACCTGGCGAGCGCAGTATATCCGCAGGATTTTCGTGTAAATAGTAGCTGTTTCCTCACTGATGTACTCGATATAAAATTCGATGCAGAAACCTACTTTATTTCACTCGGGCTGAACTTTTTAAGGAAGGGTATGTAGAGATTTGTTGTTTTTTAGAACATAATGCAGAGGTTTTAATGTATATCAAAGACACGGTTTGGTGAGTTGTGGTTTATATGCACCGTTATCTGTATTTTAGGTTTAAGGGATCGATTTATTTTTGAAAATGTAGACGTCTCTATACTGTTCAAGTTTCAATGTTTATTTGATAACTGCACAATTTATTCATAATTCTAACTCTACCGTTCCAGTATTAAACTGACAATAACTTTCTATCAATGAAACGATGTACACCGTAACTATATCTACACGCTACAAACTCTAACTCAAATAACCTCTAACAATATCTTTGTCCAAGCCCTTACTACACGTTGTACAAACCAACTGCCCTAGCGTTTCATTGATCAGCTGGCCGTCACACATGACCGAATTCTAAGTTCTCGAACTATTAGAATGGTTCTTACTTCTCGGTTATGCTTCACTGATGGTTATATCAAAACGGCTAATTATAGTTGCATTTACCTCATTACGCACAACAAGGCACTGTACTTTATATTTCGTGTTTATTCTCTTTTATAAATCAAGTCATATTATGTATATATTATGTATACAGTTTGGAAAAACAAAGATCACCCCGTCTAAAAACACCGAAGATAATATCTCAAGCACGTAGACGATTTTTGCACAAGGCCAAAGCGTCTTGCCTTTAACCTTTAAAATTCTGCATTGAAAAAAAAATTCGCCATTTTATTCTACCATTCCAGAAAAAATACATGACTGTTACAGTTTTCCCAAAACTTTTCAATGGAACTGTATTCTTAAATAATATTGTATATGTTTAAAGAGTGTTTCGTAGTTTAACCTTTATAATTCGTCATTATAAAAGTTCGACGATTTACTGTTTCAGAACAACAAGATGTGAATGTTACAGTTTCCAAAAAACTTTTCAACGGAACTGTTGTCTTGTGCTCCAAACCTTTGATTTATTGGGTTGATGAATTTACCTTCGACTTTGAATGTGAAACAAGAAATTTTGTAACTGAGATTGGAATTAAATTATCGTTTCATGCTTACATTTGCCACGTCACCGTGAACGGAGGTAGGTGTAATATTTCATAGTCCTAATATAATATACACAGTGTAATATTTCATAGTCCTAATATAATATACACAGTGTAATATTTATAGTCTTAATATAATATACACAGTGTAATATTTCATAGTCCTAATATAATATACACAGTGTAATATTTATAGTCTTAATATAATATACACAGTGTAATATTTCGTAGTCCTAATGTAATCTACACAGTGTAATATTTCATAGTCCTAATATAATATACACAATGTAATATTTTGTAGTCGTAATATAATATTTTTTGTGTAATATTTATATCCGTAAAAATATACTTAGTGTAATATTTTATAGTTGTAATCTAATTATCTTCGTGTAATATTTTATAGTCGTAATATAATATACTCAGTGGAATATTTTTAAACTCGTACTATAATAACATCATATTTTATATTTTAAAGTCGTAATATAATGTAGGCCTACTCAGTGTAATATTTTATAGTCTTAATGTAATATTCTCTGTGTAATATTTTGTTGTCGTAATATAATATACTCCATGTAATAGTTTATAGTTGTAATATAATATACTAGCAGAATATTATTTTCTTATGGTGCTAAATAAATTTCGCATTACTTTTCTAGGCAGAAATTTAATTAAAGAATCCAATGTCCTCGTAACTTCTGATGGTAACGACTCGTATGTTTCTAACGAAGAGTACCAAGTGGTATTTGATGACTACGAAGACGACGATAATTGCCTAATTGTTGCGAAGCCTGGACGAAGCATCGCTTGCAAATCGACATTCAAATGGCCACGTGTGGTTTACCAAATCTTAATTTATACCAGCGGTGAGAGGAACTGTATTGTTAACTCTATTGTAATAATTATGTAGTCAATACATTATGAAAGAAAAAAATTAAAAGTTACGACAAAACTCGAAGTCGGTTTTTGCACGAATATGTCGGTCAATGCGCGCATTCACCGAGATATCCTTTTATTGACAAGCCAAATTCTGAGTTAGAAGATAATAAGCAGTTTATCTGGATTCGTTTGGTTGGAGTAGGGTTGTGTTTGGTGTTATATAATATGGGGGTTACCTGTAGTTTAAGGGGATATGCTATGTTTTTTTCTATTTTTCACAGTTTAAGATCTAAATCCTTTTGAATACTTTTATCATATTTTGCATATAAAAGTAAATATCAAACAGCAAAAAAAGGGTCGAAAACAATTTTGGTTGTCATGGAAACCCAAAAAACCTCCGCCATTTTGAATTTTTCGGTACTTTTAAAAATACTAGGGCTTTTTTGTTTATGCACCTATAGCAATCAAATTTAAACTGCTTATATTTCAGTATATAATAAAACTTTTGTCACGACAACTTTTTGAAATAATTACTGGTAAGAATTTTACAAGGTCTAAAAAATCGTACCCTTTTTAGTATTCAAAAGTTTCAAAATGTGCATATTAATTACCAAATACTTTTTCTATAAAAGCAATCACAATTCCCTCGTGACAAAAGTTACTGAAAATATGGTTGGCATTGTTTAATAAATAAAAAAGTAGTAGGCTTTTTAGTGTTAAAAACCTGCGAACTGAGAAAAACAGCCAAAAGTAACGAAAAGTAGGTCAGGAAAGTACCATATCTGTGTAAACTGCAAAGCCGATTGTAAGCTTTGGGTGTTTCCGAGATGCAGGAAATTAAGTTTATTAAATACATGAGAAATCCAGCTTTCCAATGATGTCAAATACAATATAATGACGGATATAAAACTTTTCATAGAGAGCTTGTTAGATTGCGGAAAATTGATTATTTTTTAATTAACAGGGTCATGAAAATCGTAATTCAAACACATAAAATATTTTTTTCTCTTTTAAGTTATTATTTTCTTAATACAAAAATGGACAAAGTATCCAAAAGTGCAAGAAACCCATCATGACGAAAAACAAGAAATTTTGTGATTTTTTTTCCGCGCATATCCTTTTAACACAATTTTGTAGGGTTCGGGTTTGGGTTTATAACTACACATTTTCGTGTTATAAAATATATCACCAAATTTTAGACTCTACTTCTGTATTAGAAAAAAAAACACTTCAAAATTCATTACTTTTGGAAAGTATAAAGGGTGCGGATTATTGATTCTAAGGCTATTAGCCAAACGGTTCTTTTGAGTATGAGGCACATTGCATAATAAATGCTTTATACACACAAGCCAAGCAATTGGCTACTCATAATAAAATAGCATCCTTAATGATGGGTATCAACGAGTTGACGAGAACTCTATTAAAAATAATGTTGAAACTGGGAAAAAAAGTAATTGTTTTTTTTTAAAAGATTTTTCTAATAGGCAGTAATATATATATATATATATATATATATATATATATATATATATATATATATATATATATATATATATATATATATATATATATATATATATAAGCATATATATATATATTTATAAACAGTATTATAAAAAGATATCTGAACATAATTCTGAAATTTATTAATTTTCAGTGTTATAAAGGTTGTAAATTGAGAAATCGAAACTATTTTCGTTTTGTAGTTTAAGGCTACATTTATTTATTTTAACAAACCTAAGTTATAATATTACTTTTGTAATAAAAACATTTATTTTGCTCTACATGAGCTCCGTTATCGACGTTCTGAAAACACAACTTCATTTCATTTTGTTCTTAAAACTTTGCAAATTACATAATTTAATATCTTTTTTAAACCACACAGATTATTTTGATCATTTGTATTTACATTTTGTGTGATAAATCTTACACAACCTAATTCCTTTCGGCTTTAAAAAAATTGTTTCGTTAACGAAAACATCAAATGTTTTCGATTATCAGCAAAGTCCAATAAAATCAGTCAGATATTTATAATGTATTTAATTATTTTAATAACATTGTACAAGAATTTTAAAAGACTTGATGGGTCTTTTTAAATAATTTTAAGCTTATTCTCAATTGGGTCAACTAAAGCACCATCATAACGGAGCCTAGATCGGACATTTATGTTAGTGCGCCATCCCCGGCAAATGAAAATTGTAAATTTCGTTCAATTATAAACTCAGCAGCCAAGTGAGATTGGCAATATGCGCATTGGCTGCACATGGCGATTTGCATCAATATATATATATATATATATATATATATATATATATATATATATATATATATATATATATATATATATATATATATATATATATATATGTATATATATATATATATATATATGTTCTATATGTATATATTCGTGTGTGTGTATGAAGGTGTGTAGATGTGTGTGTGTATGTGCGTGCAGGCAGATTTTTTATTATTTTTTTTTTAATAAATCACAAATCAACATATGCGCATTGTTGTTGTTCTCTAGGAAAGACGGGTAGCGTCATGAAAGATTTTAAGGTGGAGCTTTTGAACGACGAATACGATGTCGTATTTTCGAAGACTTTTCATAATTTTTCACCTTTCTACAAAATCAACGTCCCCTACAGTGGTCTAGTGTTGAGCATTGTTTTGAACGCAAGCGATGTGCTAACACTATGTGAAATACAGGTTTTCGGCGGTGAATAGCATATTTAGCTGTTATTGGTTTTGTTGTTTTACTTGTTATATAATTGGATTATCAATTTTAGAAGATTGAAAATTCGTTATACATTCTGAAATTTTATTACAGAGAACAAACATGAGTTTATGTATTTAATCTTCCGAAATAGTTAACTTTGTGCATTGTGTATAGATAAAGTATTGAAGTGCAAGAATTCTAACACGAGATGTCCACTAATATCAACACATAAAACCGATAACATGCACACAGAACTAGAACGACTCTTGAAAATTTCATAGATGTATAGTAATTTTGGTAAGAACTAAGCAATTGTAAAATCTCGAGCGTAAATGAAACTATATATCCAAGAAGTTCAAAATGAGAATTGTAAAGATTTCAACATTGTGTCACAGAAGACATTTTTGTTTCAAATTTATTTCGAATTTTTTTCAATAACGGTAACAACAGTAGGCACGGAGGCCTTTTTTTCCACGTTGGCCGCTGTTTCTAAAGCTCCCAAAGCACTTATCATTTTGTCAAGCCATACAGTTAATGATTGAAGTATATTTAAAGCGGGCGTCGTTCAGCGCAGAATATGCGGGTGGTACGATACACCATACAATCTGTTCAGTTTGCTTCATTTGAGCATCACGTGATTTTGGAACATCGTAATATTGCGATACTTGTTTTTATTGTTTTAATGTTATTGTCCAGTTCAAATAAGAATTTTTTTTTTTAAATATTGAAAATAATAGAAAATAATTAATACTATTTGGCATATTATAGTGTATGTACTTCTTTTTACTTTTTCTATAGGCCTACTCTAAAAGCATGCTAAAAAGCTAGAAAGCTAGAAGTAGAACATAGCAATTCTGCTTCCCGTCCCCCCTGTCCCAAAAGAATCATTTTCAATCAAAAGTAGCATACCACGTATATATATATATATATATATATATATATATATATATATATATATATATATATATATATATATATATATATATATATATATATATATATATATATATATATTTTATATATATATATATACTAGCTGCATCCCGTGCTCCGCTACGGTAAATCTTTTTTAAATGTACCATCTTGGGAACAGAGATTTATTGATTTGTTATACTATAGTGCTACACTTGCATATCCCCTTAAAGCAATTAAAGCAAAATGAATAAGCAGCTGACTGCATCATTATCTTTCTGTAAGGAGTGTGTACAAAATTGGGGCAATTGTAATCTTTATGTTTTTTTTTGAAGGGTTCTAAGAGAGACATAATTTAATTAATGAGAATTCAATACATTAAAATAACAGCAACGACCACCATAAAATAGACCTTACGACACATAAACAGCAATCTGAAAAAAATGCAACACTGTACCGACCCACACCTAACCCATTCTCCTAGTACACAGAATTTCTTCCAGGCATCTCTTCGGGCGCAACCCCCCCCCCCCCGAAAAATTTCTACGCCCCCCCCCTGAAGAAAGTCTACCGCCCCCCCCCCCCCCCCCCGAAAATTTCAAGTGCTCCCCCCCCGGAGAAAAAAGTCTTTTAAGAAACACTGCTAGCCCACGGGTCGGCAACCTCTTGATACGCAAGAGCCAAAAGTTACAAACAAAATTTCCCAGTTTTTAAAGAGCCACATTTTTACTTTCTCGTATATACGAAGTATAGAGAAAGTATTGTAATCGTGCAAAAAAAAAATCGAGATTTTTACAAATCTCGACGTTTTACACCACACTGATACGGAAAAACATAATTTTGCAATCTTGTCCGTATGTCTGTGTGTGTGTGTGTGTCTGTGTGTCTGTCCGTGTGTAAACACGATAACTTGAGTACCGTTACAGCTAGGTGGATGAAATTTCATATATAAGTATTTTATCAAAATCGTAGATGAATATCAACTTTTGAGCGATTTCAGATAACCGGAAGTGGTACTTTTCCTACTTTGAATTTTTCAAAAGCCTATAACTTGAGTACTATTTCTGATGGATAAATGAAATTTCACATGTAAGTAAAAGATCTAATTCTCTACCTTATTTTAAATTTTGAGTAATTTCTTATTACCGGAAGTAGTAATTTACGCTACTTCCGATTTATCAAAAAACTAATGTAAATTTTAAAAGTACTAATAATATTGCGCACTATTATGCGCTTTTTTATTTGGCGTTCACTTGGTGTGCAATTAATTTGTCTACGAGATTTTATTCTATTTTTAAAACTTTAAGTATTTAAAATGGATTAAAAATCATGTCTATAGCCCGAGTTCCCATCCCATGTTATTTTATATAAGAATATTCGAGAAAGTTTAGGGGAGATCACTCCCGGTTTATTTAGTACAATATTTTGGTATTTGATGAGGATTAGGTAAATAAATTTGATTTGTTATTTAAAATAAATAGCTTTAAATATGAAATAATATTTATTCATATAAAAACATTGACATGTTTCGCCAGAATAGTAAAATTAGTAATCAAATAATATTATTTTAGGACTGTCTCGATTCACTTTAGAGGCTGTTAATTTATATTTTATTTTTTCTTTACGGATATCACCGGCTCAGGAGGTGTCTCCCATTAGCCAGTCAGGCCTCAACACGGCAAACGCCGACTAACTGGCTTGGATATCGGTTTGAATAGCTTGCATTGTACGCTTCTATCTTTTGGTTCACATAAGGCTTATCTTCTATCCCACTAAACGCAGGGTAAAGTCGTGCCCCACCGTCCAGTAAAAATGAAATTATATAACTAGTAATATGTGTGCAAGGAGCTGGAGAGCCGCATCTTGACGTCAAATGAGCCGCATGCAGCTCGCGAGCCGCAGGTTGCCGACCCCTGTCCTAGCCACATTAATCCGCAAGCACCACTCGTACATCACTGTATTATCGAAACGGCTGCATCTATGATGTATGTTTTTTTATGCTGATATAGCAACCAAAACCGTAACTCATAAACCTCTCTAATATTTGATTTTACTTATCAAACAATATAAAAAATTTTAAAATTGCGCAACGCTCTAATTAATGTCTGCCGAGATTTCTCTTCTCCCTTTCCCCGTGGTGAAATGTAAACCGCCGACGTACAACATGTATTAAACCACATACATTTAATTTAACTTTAGCCATTCCGTAGGTTTTAACAAGTTAATTATTTAGCGTGAGTGAAATTTATTTGTTAATTACCTCCCTTGTCAAAATTGGAAAAAAAGAGTTAAATTAATTTGATTTTTCTTCTCTACTGTTATTATGTTATTAAAATGTATCCAATGTTTCTGGGAATCTAAACGAAAATGATATTTGACATTAATCTTTTTAATATGTTTTAGTAGTGTGCGTGTATTTAATATTTTCTTGGCGTTATGCCAAAGAGTGAAAACAGTGGCATTTATAAAATAACTTAATGTCGTTATATAAACAAACCCTGCTCTATGTAATGTATTTCAGAGTGTGGTAAAAGAAGACACGGTATAGATTGTAGCGAAGTATGTAGCATCACATGTTCTGACCAAGATTGTCAGTTTACTGGGGTTTGTAAGAAATGTGTACGTAACAGAATTGGGGAATACTGTCTTGATTGTGAGTAACATCACATATAAAGTATTTTCTACGATATATAAGTAATACCTATATATTGTATATATATATATATATATATATATATATATATATATATATATATATATATATATATATATATATATATGTTAACACACACACACACACACACACACACACACACACACACACACACACACACACACACACACACACACACACACACACACACACACACACACACACACACACACACACACACACACACACACACACACACACATATATATAACATTTTTGTATAATTTCTTAACAGCTGTAGATCAAATATATAATTTTTCGCTGAATTCAACTCCCTTACAAATGTCCACTACCTTTCAAAGAGCTCGGTTCATGACGTCTGATGAGATTTATACAATAATAACATTACTGATCATAGTGTTCCTCGTCATCTTATGTCTGTGCTTCGTACCAAAGTAAATATATACAATCTAGATCGGAATTCCACTAAATGAATAGTTCTAATGTTTTATTAGTCAATACATCCTTTATTAATATATATATATATATATATATATATATATATATATATATATATATATATATATATATATATATATATATACATATATATATTTACAGGCCTAAAGATGCAAAAAGTGCCAGGGAATAGAATACTATTGTTAACTAATGAGCTATATTTTCTATTCAGTATCTAATAAAGCATTCAGGCTTACACTAAATCCTTGTTTTTAATTTTTTCTACTTCTAAGATTAAGTGATAATAAATAGAACAGTTTATATATATATATGTATATATATATATATATATATATATATGTATATATATATATATATATATATATATATATATATATATATATATATATATATATATATATATATATATATATACATATATAAACTTTTTTGAGGAAACATGGTCAGTGATATATACAGAGCCGAGATGCTACTCAGGAAAAGAAACGGCACCCCCCCTTGAATAACGTCTACCTCTCCCCCAAAATAAATACATTTATATTGAAACTATATAAATTCTTAACAGTATCTGCTCCCTTTAAATTAATCAGCCCACACCCTTAAGTTTCAAGAGTCATCCCCTACCTCCCACGTAGTAAAATGTCTGAAAGTAGAACTGAATAGAAAAATGAGAGTTTTCCGATGAAGTTGTTTGACACTAAGCTTGGTTACCTGAGTATTTTAATATAGATTCTATGTTGGAAGTTTAAAGTCTATGTAGACAATTCTATCGTAGAAATGTGAACCCACATTGTTTGAGAAATCTACACAGTGGGTTCAGGCACTTTTTAAAATAAACTAGACTACCTGTCATCCGTTGGATAACTGTGGATTTCGGGGGGCTTTAATAAAAAACATCACGTCTGTCACTTATCGTCATAAAAAAACCAGACCCCACATTCAAAAAGATGTTTTTTATCTTTTAAAAACACCGAAAACAAAGATTTCGGACTATCTCTTTATATACTGACGTCACAGGTGACCTACTCAACTCTACTTCACCTGCCCAGTGTCCCGCCAAGTCTCAGACAACATGTTTTTATCGTTTAAAAAACGATTCCAGCCGAGCATGTCTCTGACCACATGATCCCTTCATATGCTTAGGACAAAGAAACAGATTAACTCTGCTTCACCTGCTCTGTATCCCGCCAATTTCAGATAGGCAACTTTATCATTCACATCTAAAAAATAAAATAAAAATTGAAAAAAAAAATTCATTGACGTATTGGTCTAGAACCTGTGCCACCCGCATGCAAGCCGATTACACTAACAACTTAGCTATTTAACTCCTGACGTCACAGATGTTTTTTATACTATAGTTTAATACTTTGAGTCTCCTTATGCAACTTGATTTACGCGCATAGATCTAGATGTAGTAGTAGTAACTTTAAAATTATATTTTATCTTAAATTAGCACAACAAAGATTTATATAAAATAATGAAGGTTTGAAATTATCTAGATCTAGATAGAAATATATAGATCTAGATTCTACGACTCGTTTGCTTAAGTCTTAATTCTTGTTTTTGCGTAACTCTTTCTAGATCTAGATCTAATCATTAGACCTATTCTAGCTAGATAGATCTAGATCTAGATAGATAAATCACAAAGATTTATATCAAGTATTTAAGGATTAAAAATGTAATATGATTATAAAATGGATTGTATTTTTATCTAATTAATCTTTGATATGTATCTAATTAATCTTTGATTTGACCTAGATTCTAGATCTAGATATATAAATAACTTGCTTGGCCACCTGATATTTTTAGATCTATAAATAACTGTCTTGGACTGATTGTATAGATAGAGAAATTTATTGTAAAACTAAATGAAAAAGACAGTTGAAAATGTATATAAGTGTTGGAATGTAATAAAAACAGCCAACGGACGTATTGTTAAAGTTATGGCCGACAGAAAATTAGCTTTAGAACGCGTTCAACTATTGAATGGGCCACAAAGTCTATGATGGAAGCCGCCATTTTATTGTAATAAAAAGTAAACAAATCATGTGACGTCACTATTCAGTCAAGGTAAAGCCATTGTTTGAAAAAATTTAAATTAATGTGGTTAATCTACATATGAATAAATCAATAAATTAATTAACGCCTTTAAAAAAATGTGTGATTAAAAGTCTGTCTGAAAACAAAAATTGTTCTCTACCTACATACTAATTTACAGTTCTGCATATACCGTAGATCCATTTACAATAGTCAATCAGACAAACAAAAAAACAAAAAACAAAATAAATATTCAAACATGTAAACAAACTTGAGTTTTAGTAGTGTATAGATATTTTCTTTGTTTTTTCTACTTTCTCGTATATACGAAGTATAGAGAAAGTCTTGTAATCGTGCAAAAAAAAACGAGATTTTTACAAATCTCGACTTTTACACCTCCCTGAGTCGGAAAAACATATTTTTGCAATCTTGTCCGTATGTCTGTGTGTATATGAATGTGCGTTTGTGTGTGTGTCTGTGTTTCTGTAAACACGATAACTTGAGTACCATTTAAGCTAGGTTGATGAAATTTCATATATAAGTATTTTATCAAATTGGTAGATCCGTATCAACTTTTGAGCTATTTCCGATAACCGAAAGTGGTACTTTTTCTACTTTGAGTTTTCCAAAAGCCTATAACCTGAGTACAATTTCAGATAGATAAATGAAATTTCACACGTAAGTAAAAGATCTAATCCTCTAACTTCTGTCAAATATTGAGTAATTTCCGTTTAACGGAAGTAGTAGGTTACGCTATTTCCGATTTCTCAAAAAAACGCATGTAAATTTATAAAGTACTAATAATATTCCGCACTATTATGCATAGTTTGTTTTCTCGTTGGCTTGGTGCGCAATTCTTTTTTCTACCAGATTCTATTCTATTTTTAACAGTTTAAGTAATTAAAAATCATGTCTATATTCCGAGTTGCCATCCCACTTAGTGTTATATAAGAATATTCGAGAAAGTTTAGGGGAGATCACTCCCGGTTTATTTTACTCAATAATATCAGAGTTCATGAAACTAATATGCAAAACAATGTAGACATACGCGCACAGAATCATAAAGGAAAAATTAAAATTTTTCGTCTTTTATCTGGAAACCGAATGTTTAAAGTTAGAAAAAACATCATTTTGGTAATTAAAAACATTCATTATAATATTGGGTCGGTGTGGTCGAGTCAGGAAAGCTCATGGTCGTTAAACCGAAAAGTCTCGAGTTCGAACCTGCGGGCAGATGAGTCTGATTAGCTGGGGACAGCCACTCTTGTAAGAGAGGCAACTCCAAAATTAAACAACTGCTGCCTCGTAGTTTGTTCTTTCTTGGGCAAAGGCTATGGAAACAAATCCAAAAATAATAGCAGTCTGAAATTGAAGTCAATGCCTTCAATGGCGTATAACCAGTTGACACGTAAACTTAACTGTTTTGGAAGGGATCGCTTCTAACACTAAAATTAGAACGTAGAAGTAGAAAGAAGATTATATCATGACAAAGGATTTCTTTATTTGATACACCCTGGTATTCAACTTTTGAAAGTTGAAACGGGTTTTAATCAATCAAAAACGTATCAATTCCTACTGCAGCTATTGATTCAAAAATTTAGTTATTTGACAATTATCCTCTAAAGAAATCGCAATACACGACAGCGTTAGCCTGTTTCGGCATTAAAAATCAATTTTATTATATTTTCGTGTAGTTTTTATCACTTACCTGCCCGAAGGGTATGGAAAAATCAAATCGAAAAAGTAGGCTCCGCTTGAGATCTGACATTTTTTGAGCAGTCATCCAGTTCAAATACATTTGAAATAACGAGAAGAGTCTAGAAACTTTCACCCACGAGGCAGTTTTCATCGATCACAAATCAACGAAATTTGTTGTAATAGAAAGTACCGGGTGAGTGAGGAAATAGGTCTTACTGTTCTACAAACTAATTGGATGAAATTGTAAGCACGTCACTGTCGATTGCGTGGCATACATTTTCGCGTAAAGTCACAGGCTCATTACATCGATTAGAGATTCAATAAGTCAACCCACACAAGGACTTAAAAGGACAAAGACGCTTAGTTCAATATCTGCTAAGCAAAGTAGAGGACTGCGGTAGACTTTTGCAATTATCAATTTTATTTCATAACTTTTTAACATTTTCATATATATATATATATATATATATATATATATATATATATATATATATATATATATATATATATATATATATATATATAGATATAGATATAGATATAGATATAGATATAGATATAGATATAGATATAGATATAGATATAGATATAGATATAGATATAGATATAGATATAGATATAGATATAGATATAGATATAGATATAGATATAGATATAGATATAGATATAGATATAGATATAGATATAGATATAGATATAGATATAGATATAGATATAGATATAGATATAGATATAGATATAGATATAGATATAGATATAGATATAGATATAGATATAGATATAGATATAGATATAGATATAGATATAGATATAGATATAGATATAGATATAGATATAGATATAGATATAGATATAGATATAGATATAGATATAGATATAGATATAGATATAGATATAGATATAGATATAGATATAGATATAGATATAGATATAGATATAGATATAGATATAGATATAGATATAGATATAGATATAGATATAGATATAGATATAGATATAGATATAGATATAGATATAGATATAGATATAGATATAGATATAGATATAGATATAGATTTAGATATAGATATAGATATAGATATAGATATAGATATAGATATGGATATGGATATGGATATGGATATGGATATGGATATGGATATGGATATGGATATAGATATAGATATAGATATAGATATAGATATAGATATAGATATAGATATAGATATAGATATAGATATAGATATAGATATAGATATAGATATAGATATAGATATAGATATAGATATAGATATAGATATAGATATAGATATAGATATAGATATAGATATAGATATAGATATAGATATAGATATAGATATAGATATAGATATAGATATAGATATAGATATAGATATAGATATAGATATAGATATAGATATAGATATAGATATAGATATAGATATAGATATAGATATAGATATAGATATAGATATAGATATAGATATAGATATAGATATAGATATAGATATAGATATAGATATAGATATAGATATAGATATAGATATAGATATAGATATAGATATAGATATAGATATAGATATAGATATAGATATAGATATAGATATAGATATAGATATAGATATAGATATAGATATAGATATAGATATAGATATAGATATAGATATAGATATAGATATAGATATAGATATAGATATAGATATAGATATAGATATAGATATAGATATAGATATAGATATAGATATAGATATAGATATAGATATATACAATAAATATATATGCATGTAGTAAAGGCATACATACATTTTTATATAATTTTAATAATTATATTATTGAAGCATATACAAAACAATATCAACATAAATCCAAATACCGGAACTCCATTCGTGCCTATTTCCTCTAGTGACGCCAATGTGCCTATGACTCGCCTCAGACTGAGAGACGCGATATAATCAAACCGTCCGGTCTTCACACCATGAGTCGCAACACAACGTTCCCACCCCAGAGCTCCCAGACCACCAACCTGCTGGACCCCCACATCGTGGAACATGTCCTGACGGTCCAGCTTTTCGTCTGTGGCGCCGCCGGGCTGTTCGGTATCCTAGGCAACGTCATCAACATCCTGGTCTTCTACAAGCAGGGCTACGGCGATAGCGTCAACATCACCCTCACGGCACTCGCCGTCAGCGACACAGGGGCGCTGGTGACGCTCCAGGTCTTCTACCTGCTCATGAACCCCTGGATTCTGAACGGCGACCTTGACCTTAACCCCTTAGATCTGAGCACGATCATAGCGTTCTACCCCCACAACTATTTCATCAGGGTCTGTGGGTTTATCACCGCCTTCGCGTCTTTAGAAAGATGCGTCTGTGTGGTCAATCCTTTAAAAGTTAAACGCATCTTCACCAACAAAACTGTCATCGTCACCGTGATTTTAATTTTTGCTATAACAACGTTGGATCTGTTTCCTCTATATTACACGGTCTACCTAGGCAAGTCGTTTTCCGCTTCTTCCAATACATCCACCATACACATCATGTATCGCCAAAACCCATACATTGTCTTCAATATCTCGTATTATATTAACGATCTCATGGCGCCGTACACAACTTTCTTCATTATACTAATGAGTACAGGAATAATTACGATCAAACTAAAACACCAAGCGAGATGGAGACAATCCATGTCACATGTCAAGACAGAGACACACATCTCCAGCAGAGAGAAGAAGACAGTCATCATGCTGTCTACCATCTCCATCGTGTTCGTCGTCTGCCTCATCCCGCAATCTACCATCCTGACAGCCATCAGTTTCGTGCCCGACTTGAGATTGGGAGGGAAAAATTTCGGTGTGGCCCTCGTGTGCTACTGTGCCTCCTACCTCTCTGAGACCGTTCTCTCTAGTGTCAATATTTTTGTCTACCTCAGGATGAGTCAGAAATATAGGGAACAGTTTTTCATAATATTTACCCGAACATAGATACTCTAACGTAGAATTGTGTAAATGTATGGCAGAAGCGTAGCGACCCTTTCCGTTGGCGCAACCCCCCCCCCCCCCCCCATATTTTTAGCGCAATTTCCATACTAGCAATTGCGTTTAATAATTCGTCATTTCTGGATGGGTGGATGGATGTATGGATGTGTGTCCGCAGCTTTAAGTCGTATCTCCTCCTCAACGAAGTAATATCGAGGACTAGTTCTAAAGCAAATATGTTAAGCAAGTTCCGAGGATGATTGTGGGCCAAAAAAATTACTTAGCGACTTGAAACCTTTACCAATCGATTCCTGCCATAATTTAGAACAATATTATCGAAGAAAGTTTTTCAAAAATATCCTTTCGTTCGGTCACAAAAAAATAATTAAGAACAAATTAGTTTAGATTTATAGGATGATATTTACTACTTTACTTTTTTAAACTGAGCATCGTGTAGGCCTACTCGTTAAAATAAAACTATTTCCGTTGATATAGGTTAATATAGTTGTCTTTATTTTTTACTTATTAATTCAAATTCAAACGTTATTTTTGTACCCTATTAAATAATAAATATTTTTTCTATTTTGTTTTGAATTATTATAACTACTTGTGTTGCATTATTTATTTGCTGAATATATGATTTATCTCGATTTAAAATTGTTATGGATAACATAAGGAAATTGCGCTTAAATTGTCACTAGACTTTTTATTAACTTGTTTATATTTATAATTCAAAACTGCAGTTAAAATAAGCTTTTAATTTTTTTTCAAACCCATTTTTGTGCCCCCTAGGGTCGGCGCCCGGGAACATATGTACCCCCTGCCCCCCCCCCCCCACTCGCTACGCCTCTGACTAATGGGGACCGGATTGAAACGATGTTATTTATGTGACTGCTTTTTTAATTTTATTTTATACTGGTAATATGTGCAAGCGATCAATAATCCGAAAGTCTTTGTTTTTGGAATTCCATGAATCTACTCTGATCTATTCGGACCTGACTTAAGAAGGTGTATGTTAAAACAGTCTTCATTATCCGTTTCTTCCCCAGGTCGGATAAATAGATATACTCCTTTTTCTATCCTTATTAGCTGGTCTGTAGGGAATAGGGATAACGCCAACATGCTAAAAAGTTAGTAGATGGTATTTTCTTTTTTACGAGAGAAAATATATAGGCCTTTAAAGTTATGTGGCCTGTCTAGAACTAAGCAATACATCTGGATATTATTAGCATTATGTTAATATTTGTAGAGAGCTGGACTGCTAACCCGTAAGTCTCGAGTTCGAATCCGGGTTCAAATCAGTAGACCGTCCCTGAGTCCACCCAACTCTGATGGGTACCTAACTCGCGTAAGGGAAAGTAAAGGCGACAGGGCTTAGTACTGACCACACTATCTCTTCATATGCTGAGGTCACAGAAACAATTGAACTCTACTTCACTTGCCCCATAGACCGTCAGGTTTGAAAAGGAAAGTTTAATATTAAAATTTGTACAAAATAAAATTCAAAATTTGAAATCCTTCATTTGTCCACGAATATTGCTTACTAAACTAATTGTATCATTTTTGCAACAAAGTTAGATCAATATGCACCAGATCACACTTTATGCTTTGTGATCATTTCAATCAAACCATGAAGTACAATGTTTAATGGGCAACACATAAAAGAATTTCCTGTAATCTACATTAAGGAAATATTCGTCTGGAAATAATAAACATTATAACGCTCACGTAAGTGAGATAATTGGCAGACTAGTGTAGTATTGATTAGCATTATCCAAATATAACGATTCAATAGTCTATTTTTAGATGCTTGATCTCAATTCCAGTAATAGATTCACGTTGCGTCATTCGCAGTGATGAAATTGTACAGCAGGGTGTGATTCTAAATTCATCATCACCATATTTTCCTAAGACACATTGGGCAGATGAAGTAGAGAATCCGTTTCAGAGACCTCAGCATATAAAGGGTCGTCAGCACGATGCCCAGCCGCCTTTGTTTTTGTGAGTTAGGTACCAATCACAGTTGGGGTGGGGGGGGGGGGGGGGGGGGCTCAGGAAATCCTACTGACTTGAATCAGTAATCGAGGTTGAGATATTTGGGTTAGCCGTCTAGCTTTCTACCGCTAGGCCACGCCGTCCCATTGTAAGTGTGAAATAGCACCTTATATCTACATAGTTTATGTGTGGAATATTAGTTTGCCAATGTATTCTATAGTTAGGATTTTCTTTTGTGTTATGTTGTAGACTATTTAGAATAGAATATGATATTTAGTTTGTGTTTAGTTTAGATATGATATTGAAGTTTATTATTATTCTTGTAAAAGAATATTTCTTTCATTTAGTATAGGCTTCGTTACCTAAATGGTGTTGTGTATCTTATTTGTTGTGCTACGCACTAGTTTTCCACAACAAACTCCAATTGTTTTACTCTTGAAATTAATTAAAAGTCTACCTGTATGAAGGAGGCCTTGCAAGATTTAAAACTGCTAGCGTATACGTTTAATCAAGTGTTGTGCTTGGGGCTTGGTAATACATCTGCATGAGATAGACAACTAAACTCGAAGTAATGCATACATGTACAATGCAAACAATGACGTTATCTTGAAAACTGCATATTTTTTAACAAAGTTTAACACAAAAAAACAGCGTAAGGTGGCGTATTCTGGGTGAAGGCTAAATGAACAGCAGCACAATGAGTAGTCTTTTAAGGCCAACAGCGATGTATTAAATAAAAGCTAAGTAACCTTTCGAACATCAAGTTAAAAAGAATGTAGTTCAAGTAGAATTAACATAATCGTTGTCGAATGCATTGAAATCAATCGTTTGTTCAGATTCATTCTTCGATTGCGATACGCCCAGAATTCGAATTCGAGACAATTGTTCTGGCACTTAATAAATATTCAGGTTATGTGTTAATTGTTTCAAATATAAAATGAGTGGACAACTATAAAGACAAAATGTGTTGTTAGAAATTTAAGGTCACAAATAACTTAACTTGTATCGTTAAATAATGCTGGAATGTATCAGACACAATAATTGTAAACCAATATGTTCTAACAATGTATACGACCATATGAGATCCCTATCTTGCTTTATCTAAGTAAATCCATCTAGATAAACACAAACAAATGCTGGATTATAAAACTGAACAAATCTGTACACATTCTTCTTCTAATTAAATTTAGTTTAATAAACAGTGAATTATATCGCTTTACTAAATAAAGAATGTGTGGTTAAAACATTTTAATTAAACTTGTTACATAGCGAAGTCAGGCTGAAATCAATATTACAGTGGACCGCGCTTTACAACTTCGCATGATTATATGCGATATTTATAAAAAAGTAATGTAACAATGTTGGTATGTATTCACTATATGTGCTGTTCTAACATTAGACAACTTTTTACAATTTAAACAATGTTGTGAGCCACAGTTACATTACCTGTGAGCGTAGTGTGGTTGTTATCAATGTTGATAGAAATCAACTTTGTTCAACAAGTCTGTTTTCAAGCCATTAGAAACAATTTAAATATATTTTAGGAAATTTTCCTCTCCAAAACTGGCTGTAGGACGTCATCATAACAAGCGAAAAAATGTGTCTATTACAACTACAAGGCTAACAATTGACAAAAACAGGGATAATACAAGGCTAACAAGTGACAAAAAAGGCACAAAACAAGGTTAACAAGTGACAAAAAAACAAGACAATACAAGGCGAACAAGTGACAAGAACAGGAACAATACAAGGTTAACAAGTTTCAAAAACAGGACAATACAAAGCTAACAATTTGAGTGACAAAAACAGCGACAACACAAGGCTAACAAGTGACAAGAACAAGACAATACAAGGCTAACACATGGCAAGAACAGGGACAATACAAGGCTAAAAAGTGACAAAAACAGAGAAACTACAAGGCTAATAATTGGCAACTAAAGGACAATACAAATATAAAAACTGACAAGAACAGGGACAATACAAGGCTAACAAGTGACAAGAACAGGTACAATCGTTGAGGTGGAAATTTGCCAACCGTAGTTAATACTTTGATATATCCAGCTGTTTTAATAATCGACAAAAGATAAATATCGTTACTGTTCAATGTGCACATAGTACAACTACCTTCTGGCGGGGGGGGGGGTGCGAATGGGACACCAACTGTAAAATTTACTGATGGGAAAAGAAAACACATTTTGTTCAATTAATATTTTCAAAAAATGTTACATTTATCAACAACAGGATGAGTGATCTCCCCTAAAAAAAACACGGAGATTCTTATATCGCACTCCGGGAGAAGGCAACTCGGGATATGGACATGATTTTTAATTACTTAAACTTTTTAGCGCAATTTCCTTTCTGGAGAATTGCGTTTATTAAACCGTCATTTCTGGATGGATGAATGGATGGATGAATGTTTGTGTGTCCGCAGCTTTAAGTCGTATCTCCTCCTCAACGAAGCAATATCGAGGACTAGTTCCAAAAGCAATTATGTTAAGCAAGTTACGAGGATGAACATAGGCCATAAAAATTCCGGGTTTCTTTCATAGATTTCCCGGAGATGCCAAAAAAAACTCGAAAAAAAATGCAGTTTTTGGCCCATATCTCGGCAACCAGACCACTTAGCGGCTTGAAACATGTACCAATCGATTCCTTCCATAATTCGGAACAATATTGCCGAAGAGAGTTTTCAAAAATATCCTTTTGTTCGGTCACAATTTTTTTTTTAATTAATTAAAATTTGGACCGAATTAGTAGGCATTTTATCCAACCACACCACACGTGTCATCACGTTCAATATCTGCGCCATCACGTTCAATGGCTGCGACATAACGTTCGGTAGCTAGGCGCGCAATGGTTTTTAGTCATGTTACTCTGTTGTAAATAAAACATGTAAAATACTGAAATTTTTTTTTAATAAAAAACGTTTTAATAACTAACCAATGGTTTTACTAACCCTGCTCTTGATTTACGCTACGACATAGCTATTTTTAGATAACATAAGGAAATTGCGCTAAAATTGTCACTAGACTTTTTTAATTACTTGTTTTTAAATGGGGGTTACAATATGTTGTGACACACCAGATGACACACGACCTAGCGACGCCACTGGATCACGAATAATCGAATCAATATTTACTGGTAGCCTCTGGTTTTATCTGTTATGTTCAAGCTTGTATTATACATCAGTGTAACAGCCTGCCCCGTTGTTAGATTCAGTCTGCGTAAGTGCGATCTCACAGTAAGCAGTTCTTTTCAAAAGCTCTCTAAACGCTGTAAGTAGTTTTGCTTCATAGTTATCAGACACTTTTAATGTAGAAATGTATCGTACACACATTTTTCCTTAAATAGGTGTGTGGTCATTCTATTGACAAAGACACGTATACAAAATTAACTATTTACAATGTTACTGGATCCTAACATTTTAGCTTCAGTTAACTAACCGAAACCTATTTAGACATTCGAATAGCCATAACTTCACAAATCTGCGCGACCACAGTATCAGTGGCTGCGTGTAGTTGTCTACGAATAGCCCCAGTAGGCTATTCATACTGGCAAATTAGAGCGATGCAATGTGTCACGGCCTTTTTGTACTGTCAACTTCATGGCACAAACTCAAGACAAATACCAACCGAATCACTGTTGTGTTATTGCATATTAAGGCCTGATGGATAACACCAAACAACTCTTGTCCTGGTAATTTACACAATTTTATTGATATAAAGATACAACAGTTTCATTACCAAACAACGCCATTTCTTCTTCCCGCTTCCTCTCTACTTCCACTTTCTTTTGCGCATGCGCCCACCCACAATCTTCTATCTATTATACTACTAAAAGTCAAGTTTGTTTACATGTTTGAATATTTATTTGTTTTTTTTTGTTTGGCTGATTGACTATTGCACATGGTTGCACTCATCGTGGAGAGCTGTAAAATAGTATGTAGGTAGAGAAAATTTGTTGTTTTAAGACACACTGTTAATCACACATTTATTTAAAGACGTTAATTAATTTATTGATTCATTCATAGGTAGAGTAACCCTATTTTTTTAAAAAGATTAGAACGACCAATACACTCGGCGGGACCGTGACGTCACAGTTTTTTTGTTTACTCTTTAGTACAATAAAATGGCGGCGTCTATCGAAGAAAATTGTGTTCGCATTCAAAAGTTTAACGCGTTCTAAATCTAATTTTCTGTCGGTCATAACTTTAACAATACGTCCGTTTGCTGTATTTATTACGTTCCAACACTTATATCAATTTTCAACTGTCTTTTTCATTTAGTTTTACGATAAATTTCTCTAGATCTACAATCTGTCCAAGAAAGTTATTTATAGATCTAGATCTAGAATCTAGAATCTAGGTCAATTCAAAGATGTATTAGTTATAAATACAATTTAAAAAAACGAGACTTAAGCAAACCAGTCGTGGATCTAGAATATAGATAATTCTATCTAGATTTAGATAATAATGATTTTCTATATACTAAACTATTTTAGACCTTTATTATTTTACATAAATCTTTGTTTGGAATATGGTAATTTTGAAATGTTGGTTCCAGGCCTATTAGCGTAGCTAATGATTAGATCTAGATCTAGATCTAGATTCTAGATCTAGCAAGAAAAACTAAACTTAAGACTTAAGCAAGCGAGTCGTAGAATCTAGATATAGATAATTCTATCTAGATCTAGATAATTTCAAAATCTTTGTTTGGCTAATTTAAGATAAAATTTAATTTGAAAGTCACTGCTACTAGACTTAGTTCTAGATCTATGCGCGTAAATCAATTTGCATAAGGAGACTCAAAGTATAGTATAAAAATTCACTTGTGACGTCACGAGTAAATAGCTAAGTTGGTTGTGTAGTCGGCTCTCATGCGGGTGGCACAGGTTCTAGACCAATATGTCAATGATATTTTTTTTTCAATTTTTTTTTTAGATGTGAATGATAAAGTTGCCTATCTAAACTTGGCAGGATACAGGGCAGGTGAAGTAGAGTTCATCTGTTTCTTTGTCCTAAGCATATGAAAGGATAGTGTGGTCAGAGACATGCTCGGCTGGAATCGTTTTTTAAACGATAAAAACATGTTGTCTGAGACTTGGCGAGACACTGGGCAGGTGAAGTAGAGTTGAGTAGGTCACCTGTGACGTCAGTATAGGAAGGAATAGTGTTTTCGGTGTTTTTAAAAGATAAGAAACATATTTTTGAATGTGGTGTCTGTTTTTTGTGACGATAAGTGACACTGCAGTTGCGTAGCGAGGAGGGGGGGGGGGGGGTGGGGGGGACATATTTCCCAGGGCGCCGGCCTTAGGGGGCTCCAAAATGGGTTGAAAAAATAAATTGAAAGGTTGAGGGGGGTGCAAATCGAAAGTTTGGGTGGAAGGGGGGGGGGGGTTTAAATCAAAATCTTGAGGGGGGTGCACATCAAAAGTTTGGGGGGGGGGGGGTTGCAAATCGAAATCTTGCGTGGGGGGGGGGGGTTCAAATTGAAAAGTTTGTCCCCGGGCGCCGGGAAGGGTCGCCATGCCTCTGAGTGACAGACGTGATGTTTTTTTAATGGATGACCCCCGAAACCCACAGTTATCCAACGGATGACGGGTAGTCTAGTATATTTTAGATTTATATCGCCTTTTTACACCTCCACTCCAAACACACTCACCCTACATTTGACTGTTACACAATGTATTATGTGATGATAAGCACAATAATAAATTCTATCACGTCTTTAATTTCAAACCAAATTTGCCTAAAATTATCCCTATTCCCCAACCTTACTAAGCTAAATTTCGGATTGTAATGGAATAAATTGACCAACACAAAACTCAAATGTATATATATATATATATATATATATATATATATATATATATATATATATATATATATATATATATATATATATATATACATATACTAGCTAGCCCGTTGCCAAGCTTTGCCGCGGTCTCCAAAGAAAGTCTGGCGTAATATTTTAAGAGTTTTCATCATTGCGCTACCAATGCTATATACTTAGACGTGTGACGTTGTTTTCTAACTCTGAGTGAATTGTAAAAAATGCCTGTGCTATATTTCTTGGAACGTATTTGTCGCGGCACTTGCGTCTAACACAATCCAGCGCCTTGAGTGTACATTAATCCTTCACAGTAATAGTGAGAACACACTTCGATTATCACCCAGATGTCAAGGATAAGAAGGGCGCTACGTTTGGACTACGGCAGGCATTCCGCGTATGGTCTCTGGCGCCGGCGGATGCGCCTGATGCACTGTAGTTAAAGACTGTAATACTACATCTTATCCATATTCTATCGCTCTCTTTAAAAATCTTTAATAAGACCGGATAGCAAAATAGCACCATTCGGCGGGCCGTTTAGGGGTTGTCCATTAATGACGTCACACTCGTAGGGGGGATGGGGGGTCAGTAATTTTGTGACAATGTGTGATGGGGGGAGGGGGGGGGGGTTCAGATGGTGCGACGTCACGGTTTTGCATTATAAAAAAGCTATGTTAGAAAACGAATTTTAGTTAGACGTTATTTCGCGTTTTAGAAAACTGTTTTAATTAATTGTAATAGGAATTGATTAAAATACACTATTTTGACAGAGTTCAGACAAGATTTTAGAAAAATATCGATGTTTAAAAAAAAATCAAAATTTTGAGGGGGGTTGTAGGCTGAGGTGTGACGTCATTTTAGGGGGGATCTAGCTTTTTGTATCGACGCGGAACGGAGGGGAGAGGGGGAAGGTAAAAATCGTCAAAAAAGCGTGACGTCATTTATGGATGACCCCTTAGTGAGCAACTATTGCTATCCCGTGTATCCATAACCTATGTCACTCTTTTAAACGAACGTAGCCGCAATTTTTTTTCACAAATGGAGGATGCGCCTTATCCGATATTGTCAACGATTATTGTTCTCCATCGTGTCTTTAGTAGGCAAAACGTAGGTGCAACAGTTCTCCGGTCACACGATCGCCAGGAAGTCTGCGTCTGCTGCAGATTTACTGCAGAATATAGTAGTAATCTTTACCTGCTATGCAGATACCCAATTAACGGATACCAAGTACTAAGATAAACGCTCTGGAACGCTTGGCGCAAAACATTTTTTCGACAAAAATCACGCACACCCGGTCACCACCCATATGACATTTTAATTTTAATTTTGTAGAAACCTTCTCGGGAGTGTTCTCATCAACTCTTTAAAGTTTCACTCAATCTGACGTTTATTTTCTTAAAATACCGTATATAGCGAAACATTGCACCCCGGGGCGAAATTAATTTGTTTTTTGCTTACCCATTCCAGGAGTATTCTCAACAACTTCGAAATGAAATTAGGTCTAACCATCTTGTTACTACTCGTCTTCGCTAGCTTTGCATCAAGGTAATTATATGAAATGAATTCTGTATTTGTATATTTGATGGTAAACGAACGTTGTAATTAATGGGCCTAAATTATGAAATTGAAAATTTATTCAATGTGGCGTTGCTAGAATATATTAAACGAGCCGACCCGCTGCGTATCATACGCCGCTATTTAGTGTTTTTTTTTCTACTTTTCAGTAATTTATAATTTGTGAATTCGACAGTACCAATGCTGCAATTGAAAATATTTGCTTAAACACACTACCCCCCCCCCCACGTGAAAGCAGCCTCCTCTTAGTTACCTCCTCTAAGTTTAAATTCGTTTCAAACTAAATTATCTGCCCCTAATAGCCGTCACCAAACCCGTCTCTGTGATTGTAAAATGTAAACAGAGTGAACACCGCTCACCAGATCATGTGGGGGTGGGGGTGGTAGTGATAGTGATAGAGAGGAAGAGAGGGGACTGCAAAGGCGCGCTTGCAGCTTGTTTTCTAACTGATCCCAGAAGAGAATTATATATATATAGATGCAAGGAATAATGTGAATATATTACTTGTTAACTATTTCATGTCATCTATTAATTATAAAAGCAAAAGCAATTGTGTGTACTTGACTTACTTTATTTGCCTTAAGTCTGTACCATTAAATAAATAAATAGAAAATCATATAGGGCCTACTATGTTTTAATTTTAGTTCCAGAGATATCAGTGTGTAGTTTTATTTTTATTTGTTTAAGATTTGTCAAGAAACCGTCAGAATTAGATCATTACTAGCTTTTATTTAAATCACTTCCTCTGTATGTCGTCAGTCGTCAGTCTGTCTGACTAGATCGAAACGCCCGAGCGAAATTGCAGGCACTTCTAACTGACAGATACGGTTCGTAGTTGGTGTGTGGGTCAAGACATAAAGAAAATGCAACATGACATTCACTTTGATTTAATGGGATGCCTAATTATTTTTTTATGAATTCATTAAAATTTTGCCCGAATTAGTAGGCAGTTCTATCCACACGCGTCATCACGCAAAAGCGCGTCTTCACGTTCAATAGGTGCGCAATGGTTTTTAGTCATGTAACTCTATTGTAAATAAAAACATGTAAAGTAGGCCTACTGAAAAAAATTCATAAAAAAAAATTCATAAAAAACGTTTTAATAACAAGCTTTTATGTAATGATGCACTAAAAAGTAGAAAATAAATTATACACTACTATTTAAATTACTATAAAGAAAATCATGGGTCACTTTAGTACTTTAGTACCTATTGGATACCTTTACTAATATTTGAGAAGAGACTCACGCTTTTCTTTATAGTAATTTAAATAGTAGTGTATAATTTATTTTCTACTTTTTAGTGCATCATTACATAAAAGCTTGTTATTAAAACGTTTTTTATGAATTTTTTTTCAGTACTTTACATGTTTTATTTGCAATAGTGTTACAAGACTAAAAACCATTGCGCGTCTATTGAACGTGATAGCGCAGCTATTAAACCTGATTGAACGTGATGACGTATGTGGTGTGGTTGGATAGACATGCATACTAATTCGGTCCAAATTTTAATTAATTCATAAAAAATTAATTAGGCATCCAATTAAGTCAAATTTAGATTCAGATCGCATTGTCTTCATGTCATGACCCACGTGCCAACTGTGAATCGTATCGGTCAAGTAGAACTGTCCGAATTTTCACTCCTGCATTTCCATCTAGACTGACGACAGACTGACGACTGACGACAGACTGTCGACAGAGGAAGTGAGTTAA